ATCAGGCTCAACGGATAGCCCCAATTGCAAGTACCGGGAGGTACTTAAAAAGGATGATGGACGGTAACAAAGCTCGTTAGACAAACAGTCCGAAGTGACCAATAACACCATAAGAGTAACGTATTTGGAAAAGAAATTTAAGACAGAAATTAAATGTCCCAGTTGATACTGTTCATGGAGAGTTGTCGCCAATCGCCATAAAAATTCAGAGTGTCCACTGCTCCATGCCTCCATTGCTGTCTGTGAAATAAAAAGTGATACATTTGATTAAATCATGTAAAGAAGATTCAAGTAGATTTTCATTCATGATATATGAATAGGAGAGATGTATTATAGAGAGATAATAGATTAATTTAACGATTTGTATGGAAAGAGTAAATTGCATCAGCGGTTTATGAACTTATTAGATGGGTGCAATTTAATGCATAAACTTATAAAACGCTTGTTTTGGTATATGAACTTATGTGGTGCGTCACTACTAAGGCCAAAACGACACAAAAGGCTAATTCTTCTAAGTTGAACATCATAAATTAGTACATCATGTGCATGCACATATGGTAGAAAGGCTATATTTGTAAACTTGGTTTCTATTTTATCTTTCTTTGTTTCTACCCCTTGCATTATTACTTGTTTTTTTATTTCATTCTTTATACAATCACTATGCCTTTATTGTATGTTTTGCTAAACAGATCTTTGTCTACATGATATCCTTGAATCCTTCTAAGATACATGTTTACATAGCATTCAAATAAAAAAATCAGCAAGATCAAACCTTGTCGTGTGATTTTGGCCTTGGTTCGCACGCACCAAACAAGTTTGTGCATTAAAACAAGCGTTTTTCAAGTTCATGCGCTAGATTGCACCCACCTAACAAATTCGTTTACCGCTAATGCAATTTACTTGTTTGGAAATGTACGGTTTCAGTGGAACTTTCTTCCTTAATTATATATTTAATTATATATGCCAACAGTATATAAATTAAGGGTATTTATTTTTTATGAAAATGAATAGATTTTTCGTAGAAAATATCTTCATCATAATATAATACAAGATGTTTATATATAAAAAAAATCAAGTATTGATTATTTGGGTTGGAGACCGTGTGTATATTTGTTGTACATTTGGGGTGGAGCCTAAAAAACTGACTCTTTTTTAAAAAGAAATTCTTTGGTTAGCACCAATTATTAAATACTACTGTACCTAATACACCCATGATGGTCTAATTTGTAGTGACGCCTAAAAAAATTATCACATTTATCTAAGATAATTCTAGTATTATATAGCTGATGAAGTTGAGTTTGTTGCTGCAATTTTGCATGGTTGTCTATTTACATATTTCCGACATATGTGTGATTCTTTTGAAAACTTTATAAGAAAGTTCAAAATTTTCACCCTACATGTGGTTTCACCATATATTTTTCTGATTAACACTGAATCTGTGATAAAATTGACTAATTTGGTGAAGGTCCGATCCCATGCATTCTTGAAATGTGGAGAACCAAAATGCAAACATTGGAAATTTTGTGCAATATGTTATTCATTGTGCCATCCTAGCTCCCTCCTAAACACCTCAAATTCTAAGCATGGAAGATACTCCGGGAAGATAGCAATTAGTAACTCGACTGACCAGTTGATCGTGGTTAACAAGGTAAGCTAGATTATAGCTCTTTGTTTTCTTCGCCTAAGTTGCTTGTAGGCATGGTTGTGCTTTGCAGTATAGTGACATTATAATACTCCAACGTAGCGACAACAAATAGATCCAAATTTCGTGCTGAAGGATATGAAGAATTAGTAGGTTGTAGCTATCTCTTAAAAAGTTTTATGTATCTCCAACATTTGGAGCCAGTTGCGAGCCACTGTGTCCTAAGAAACTGTAAGAAGAAGTGAAGTAGGATATTACTGACATTGTATTGGTTTAATAATTTACCATCAACTTTGCCTTCTTTATAATATGCCATTGATCAAGTTTATTAATTGTTTCTACAATGTATCGTCTGATTGGATACTTTCTCAAACATGGCCAAAATGCACTATAGAAGATTGTAGATTGATTAATCCCGTTAGAAGTTTTTTAAAAATATGAATTTTTTAGCCTTCTTGCATAGAATTTTTAGCATATGGGTTAAGATTTGTTTTCATGTTTTATTTTTTAAAGTTATTTGTGTGTGACATATGAACGAGGAATTGTTTACTCAAAAGATAGTACCATGCAAATATTGCGTATAGCACATGTATGATGATTTACATTAAAAAAAATGAGCACAAAGTATTGTATGTAGATTATAAAAGATAAGTTATAGTTGTAAAAATATTGAAACTTACAAACAAATACAAATCCTTATGTTGTGCAAGGAGGCCTTAAAAATATCATTTTTTTAAGTTCTTGTAGGATAAATTAATTGTTAGCCTTCTATATTTCTAAGGATGTTTTAGGTATATTTTGAGAAAGAATTTGGTCATGTGATACATTACAGAAATGATTGATACACTATCGTGACATATTATATAGGAAAATTTTGCTACAAGACACGCAAAAAAACGTATAATTGGCTTCGGGACATCGCAAAAACGTGACACTGCTCATGGACACTGCAAAAGTTGTGTAATTGGCTGTAAGATACTAGAAACATTGTTTTATCATTTTTGGGATGAAACTGGTGATATTTTTTTTGAAATGCTCGGATTGCCCACCGAGTGTCGACGGCTTCGTAGTCCTCCCCGGCGCTGGCGAGATTCACAACATGTGAAGGGACGTCGGTCGTCCACGGTGGCGAAGCTGCAGAGGAAGAGAGACGGCGGGTGGGTGCGCGTGGGGAGGCGGCCGAGGAGCGGCATGGGTGGAGCTGGGCGGAGGATGGCGAGCTTGATGTCCCCACTACGGAATCCGGCCTCGGCGAAGACACTGCTGACAAGGGGTCATCGAGGACGGCCATAAGGGAGTTGGAGATGGGGGCTCGTCGCCCACAGCTCGTCGGCGCACGCGGCCTCTGGGTGCTCTCCCTCCGATCCAACCGCCTCTCTAGCTAGCGCACGCGAGAGAATAGCTCGACTGGCACCGCCGCCAGGCCACCGTGCGTCGGCGCCTCCCCCTGCGCTTGGTGCCGCTGCCCGGCCAAGCTCCTCCTCCACTCGGCCACGCCCCGCCACATCGGCACTACCGTCAACCGCCCGCCATCGATCTGGCCAGACGCCACACCTCCAAGGTGGCGCCATGCCATCAACCGCCCTGGCCGCCAATGTCGTCGCAACTCGTCGTGCTGACCTCACCCCACCGCGCTCTCTGTGGCTGTTGTGTCGTTCCCGGCGAAGTCAACGGGAAGGTGAAAAGAAGGAAAGAGAAGGGGCAATATGGGCATTTAAAAAATATCTCACCTCTTTTGACCTGGAAATAATAAAATAATACGACCGATGTCCTATGGCTAATTATACTTTTTTAGTGTCCATCAGCCGTATTATATTTTCGCGGTGTCTCTCAGCCAATTACACGTTTTTTTACGTGTCCTGTGGTAAATTTTGTCTATTATATAACGGGGTAAAACCGATACAATAAATTATCTCAATTTATAATACTCTGCTCATGCATCGACTCATCCATACGTGTTTCATACGTGTTTCTTTATATCCCGTCAATTTTTAAGTACCACCTACGTGTCAGAGACCAGAGATCTACCTCTTCTGAACGTACCACCTACTACAATTTTTAAGATTGTCCTTGTAAGTCAAGATTGAAGTCCTTTCATGCCCCGCCAAAAAAATTCCTTTCATGAATGCCATGTTATACTCCCTCCATCCTCGTCTTATTTAAAAAAATTATGCAAATATAAAAATAAAAAGTTGTGCTTAAAATAATTTGAATAATAAAGTAAGTCAAAATAATAATAATAATAATTTCAAAATTTTTTAAATAAGACGATTGGTCAAACAGTGCAAACAAAAATTCAAAATCCCTTATATTATGAGACGGAGGGAGTAAAAAACTTGTGGGTTATGCCAGGGCCATGTTATAAAAACTTTTTATTATTGATTCACAATTTGTGTTCGACGATAACCTTTTTTCTTGGGGAATAGTAACATTTTAGTGTGTATGAGCTGTTGGCGACTAATTTTTACAGGAAATTTAATTTTCATCACTAATAAGTTTGGCAGTTATCCAAATGTCCCTTTAGATTTGCTCTCTTTTTTACCACTCTAAAGAGATGGTTTCTACTTTTGCCCACGTGGCATGTGAATGTGGCAACTGAGCGTGAACAATGGTGTGGGACCCAGTAGTTAGATAGGTGAAGAGAGGAGGGGAAGGGGTCCACGTGGGTCACACGCTGACTCAACTGCCACGTCAGGTAAAACCAAGGATAAAACCGTCTAACGACTTAGAGTGATCTGGTTTTGTAAGTTAAGAGATGCATATATATATATATATCTGTTTTTTTCGGTTTATGAACGATTTTGTAACTCGGCGGTAAGATGAGGGACCTCCGGTATACCTTTTCCCGTCAAGTTGAAGCTCGGCCCACTGCTTGCTTCTTGGCGGCCCATATGCAGAACTAATGGTTTGGTCGTTGTTCGTCAAATCAAAACTACTCCAGGTGGCATGGATTTCGTTGACAACAAGAGAAAACGACAAGGCGCACCAGCTAGCTGGAGACCACCAAATCTAATCATGCAGTACGAGCGCCAGTGGTCAACCAGAGATGAAAAGACACGAGTCCTCAGATCGATTGCCTTCTCTCGAAGCTTCCGTAATCCAAACTGAAGTGCTCTGCATGGACTCATCTCTGCATGCATTCCATCCTACAGATTTACCTACATTGGCTCACACGCCCCAACATGATCGAATACGTCACACTCGTGCGTTCAATCGATTGGAAGCTAGCTAGCCGTGTTTAGTGGATCGAATGATCGACGTACGATTGATCGATCGGTACGTACATGGGTTGATCAGCTCGGTCCGGTCTGCCTTACGTACGTGTCGCTCGGATTGCTGAGGAGAGCGCGCCCAAATCTGCGGGACAGGCCGGATTGCTCCACTACGCGACGCCCTCCGCCGGCCGCGGCCACAACCTCGCGACACCGACGCAAATCCCACTAAAACCTTACGACACGACGAGCCGCGCTAGCTACCGCACGCATGCGTACCACCACAACCGCGCGCGCTCCCTATAAATTTCACCGCTAAATCCCACCACGAACTCATCAATCCATCAAGCCATCAGTTCATCACACCACACACAGCAGTACAGCAGAGGAGCACTGGTCACCGGAGGTTGAGACACCTGCGTGTGCACGGCTAGAGTGTCTGCGTTTGCGCGATATGGCTTCCGTGAAGGCCGGCGTCGTGTTGGGCGTCGCGGTGGTCGCGGCGGCCGTTCTCGCGGCTGAGGGCCGCGCTGCAAGGAAGGACCTGGGCGTCAACCTCGGCGGTGGCCTCGGAGTTGGCGGTGGCGGCGGATTGGGCGTCGGCACCGGCGGTGGCCTGGGACTCGGCTCGGGGATTGGAGTGGGCATCGGTGGTGGTGGTGGTGGTGGTGGTGGCGGCGGCTCTGGCTCCGGGTCTTACTCTGGCTCAGGCTCCGGGTCTTACTCTGGCTCAGGCTCGGGCTCCGGTTCAGGGTCTGGGTCAGGTTCGTGGTCTGGCTCAAGCTCGGGTTCGAGCTCGAGGTCAGGTGGAGGAGGCTCATCGGCCGGCTCGAGCGCTGAGTCAGGAGCCGGCTCGAACGCGGGGCCAGGTGGTGCGGGGTCATACGCCGGCTCCAGGGCTGGCTCGTATGCTGGCTCGAATGGTGGAGATGGCGGCTCCGGCGCAGGCTCGTACGCTGGTTCCAGTGCAGGCTCGTATGCCGGCTCCAACGGCGGAGGCGCAGGGTCGTACGCTGGCTCGGAAGCCGGCTCGTACGCGGGCTCCGGTGCTGGCCCGCATGGAGGCTCTGGTGCCGGCTCCGGCTCGTATGCAGGGTCCAGAGCCGGCTCATACGCGGGCAGTGGCCATGGCAAGTAAGCTCGTCACGACCCGCGTGAAGCTTACCAAAGATTATATTGTTGTGTGTTCCTAGCTTGTGTAGTTTGTGTTCTATGTGTTCAGATCACCTTATTCATGTATGCATAAATAAGTGTGTAGGTGTTGATGAATGACTAATTAATAAGCGCTACGCGCTTGCCTATCGATGTACACATTTATGTGGATGAATAATTCATAATAGAATTTTATTTTTATGTATAGAATTTGTTTATGCATATATATGAAATTGTGGATATGGTTGTATGATTTTTGAATTATCTGAAGATGTACCCCTGTGAGTTGATAACTATACCAAGCAATCAGTAACAATCTACTGAACTACAAACATCATGCAAAATAACTAAAAGAAAAGTAGTGGTTAATCTGTTGGTCATGTCTTCTCAGTTGTTAATCACATTTTATTGGGCATCATTCAACAGGGGCAGTACCCCTCCTGAACATAGAGAACAACGAACTAACTTCAACTAAAAATTACACCAACGGTGTAATTTTTCTCTCTTTTCATATGTGAATTCAGACGAACATTACATCCACAAGGAAATGAACCGAGGAAAACCAAAAGACACATGTCTTTGCCTCAAACGAACTTTGTGTTGATGATTTGCTAGCACCTTCAGCTTGTTGAATTGTGACACCAAGTTGAGCATATGCGACCCGTTGAAGAAATACTCGTCAGTTCCCCGTTCGATGTTCTGTGTGATGGTGATGGTGTTGGGGCGAGGCGGTCCTCTTGTGTTCAACTCTGTCTTTACATTCTACTTCCTCTATCTCACATTATATCACATTATAAGATCTATTTTTTTACATGGTTTTCAACGATATAATTTGATTATTAATTATTTAATATTATGTTATCAATAACTATAAAATTAGTATAATATAAAATATTTTGAAATATATAGTATGCATAATACTTAGTATAAATATTGCTAGTGTAATTGTTAGTCAAAATTTAACGAGTTTGATTTTCATAGAAACAGGAGTGCTCTATAATTTGAGACAGAGAAAAGTATTTGCTAACGGTGACATACTAGTGTTGGCATCTCGAACCCAATATGGCAGAGATAGAAGAGAATGCAGAGAGAGGGAGATATTGCGGCGAAAAACTTGCATTACACTCTATGTATTGGAAAATAGGCAAAGAGTTGGAGGCGAGGAGGTGTGGCGTGGCAATAGAGGAGTCGGGTGATTCGAATTTTGAGAAGCCCAGTCGTGATCACTGATGGAAGTGTAGGTAGTGGAAGTAGTGGCATGAGGAAAATAAAAAGGTGTAAGTCATGGACGGACAATTAGGAGCATTGTCTAAAGATACACAGATACACATTTGTCTAGGCGGGCCTCTTTATGACCATCTTATGTGTAATTTTCACGTGCATTACCTTAAGTGGCACACCTATGCTATTAGACATTAATGTGAGTTGTTGCCTAAGACATTTTGCCTGTGGCACACCTATGCTATTAGACATTAATGTGAGTTGTTGCCTAAGACATTTTGCCTGTGTAAATCATTGTAGGCGAAATTAATGTACGTTGTTTTCTTTTAGCATCATATTAGTAGTCCAAGCCTCCAAGGTAGGGCCTATGAAAATTCTTCTTTTTTTAAGTAGCGATCGTCCAAGATATGGCAACTTAAAGCAGGTTCTTTTCTCTTAAAAATAAAGATGAAAATTAAGTTTTTTTACGCAAAACGAGGTGGTATTAACGTATGATTGGTTGAGTTTTAATTATTACAAACTTGAAAAATAAATTAATATGACATTTTAGAGCAACTTTCATATAGAAAGTTTTCACACAAAACGCACCGTTTAGCAGTTTGAAAAACGTGCCACGAAAATTTTAATCTTCATCCAACTCTTGTTAGAAAAAAGAACATGGCTTACTCTGGTAGGACTACCAGGTGAAAACCTTATCTTGGTCCTCCTTGAGACCTCAATAGACGGCGACGGTGGTGCTCATCATCGTTCATCTCGCTGGAGACATCATCTAGGTCCCTTGCCAAAACTTCCCTCTGGCAGCTGATGCAAGCTCTTTCTAGTTGTTTTATCCTCTTGCAACTGTGTCCTAGCTTATGCAAGTTGGCCACGTTGACGGGCCATAGGGGGAGAGCGGATCCATTTTTTTTCTCTCACCCTCTCCTCCTCAATTTCAAAGGCGTGGCTAGAGTTGAGTTCAGTCTAGGGATTGGTTTTGAGCCGTCCTGGCTATACCTTCCTTTATTGGTCTAGCGGTGACCGATCACGTTTAGTGATGGTCGATCAGGTGCTAGCCTTCTCTTTGACTTTGTGTAGGTGCTCTCGATGTGTGGTGGTGGTATTTTTTCCTGGTATTACTGCCTTCTAAGGTACTGACCTTGCAATTTTTTAATACACTATTCAATGAATCATCGTGCCCTCATCTTGTTCTGATTGTTTTAAAAAAAAAGAATTTTTGGAGAAAATCTACATGTATGTTTTTTTTTCATTTGTCCAATTTAAAGTATTAATTTGCTCTAACTTAAAGTTACTCGGTTCGATGAATACTAGTTAACGAGAATATGTATGTATGTATGTATACCGATGCTGGTTGCCCGCATGAAAGTCAGCAAGTGGCATGTCTGTATGTATACCGATGCTGGTTGATGCAAGGTTACTTCTAAGCAACACGGTAGCCAGACCAAACACTGCAACCCATATATGTTCATTTTGGTTCATCTCGATCAGCACCTGAAACCCTGTCGGTTTCAGGGAGGAACCAGTGACAAATTCGATCAGTGCACACAGCCATACACCCGGTACGACACAACTTCTAGTGAAACCGCACCTTTAATCTTGTCACCTTATGCATGAGCACCAGTCGCGCTCTCGCTAGCTCGCTTTAGCCGATCAGCCCGGTCGCCGTGCACCGGTCGCGGCTGCCATTGGCACGCAGGAGCAGCCGCGAAGCAGGGCTAGCGCGGCCGACACGATCGAACAACTCAGACCCCGCGAACACTCCATGCGACACGCGCGGTTGCGGAACATATCATGACAAGCTCGCGTTCGCGCGCCTCTCGATCGAACACGCATCATTCTACTACTACACGTCCATTCCATCCGGCCATGATTCCCCTTCTCGCCGCGGCCAGCCGGCAGGGCCCTGCTCCACACGCCGGTGTCCCAGCGGATCGCACGGCTTTTGGCCCGAGAGAATGCAAGGGAAGAGAACGAGAGAGGGAGTGAGGGACAGAGAGACCCCCGACCGGCTGGCCGGCCGGCCGGCCAGGAAGACGAGAGCCACGGATCGAGATAGCGGCAGCAGCAGCAGCAGCAGCGGCAGAGACCAGAGTGCCTCCCCTCTGCATGCATGTCCTACTACTGCATCTGCATGCATGTCTCTTTTTCTCTTCACTCATCTTTGGGGGGTTGCTTTTGCTTCTCTTTCCCAGCAAACGTTTCTCTCTCCTTTCCCCCTCCTCTGTCTTTCTTTTGCTTCTTTTTTCACTCTTGTCATCTTTTGCATCTTTGGCTTTGTCAGAGAGGGGTGTATGTGTAGTACTACGTGAAAAAGAGATCATCACGTTCGCGTAGCGTAGTACACCATGTGTTTCGCAACCGGAGAATGTATCTGGATCAGCAATGCATTTTCCATGTATGTGCGTTCTAGTATGTGTGTGTGAGTGCGCTGCCTGTACTGATCTAGAGTAGACTAGTGGTATACTAGCACATTGGCTTATAGTACAATTGTACAACTGCCCGGACTCGGAGAGGCAGACAACTCCTACGGCCAGTAGCGCCCAGTGTACCCGCTTCTGACCTTTGACCTGACCTGTTGCTTCACGCGACTACGGACCGTGTCTCACTGGCATGTGGGCCCAGCACTTTTCGGGGTCGACATGTCATTTGGTAATATGATTTTTTTCCTTCCCGTTCTTTTTTGAATGAACGGCTTTTATTCCCTTCTTTTTTTCATGAGATACCCTGGGCCAGGTTCGGCAGCTCTGTATCCCTGACAAACGAATCAAAACGCCACTGATTCTGAATTCCATTGCTCCCCTCGGCAACGGAATCTAATTGGCTAACTAATGAATAAGTACATGCATGGAAGTTGGAACTATCATTAGTACTTCACGTTACAAGTACAGATGCGTTGGTTAGAGATAAAAGTCAAATACAAATTATAGAGATATAATACTAGAGATAAAATTCTAAAGATAAAATAAAGTCCTAAAGATAAAATTTTAGAGATAAATATACTCTTGTATTGTACTGATCTAATCAGCTACGAGCATGTACATCTACTGATCTACTTTAAGACCAACGTCACCTATCGATCATCGCCAAGTCTACAGCAAGATCGGGCCAGCCGCTGCATCGATAACCTGTACGACTACGCGATCGTCTTCGCCGATTCTACGTCACCAGTGGTCTTCATCAACTTCCTGCCGCCAACTCGTCCATATAGATGGACACCTCACGTCATCTGACAGATACATCAGCATGGCGCTTCTTCGACGACATCGACCGCGTCCTCTACGACGACAACGACCGCATCAACGACGACGACATCGATCACGTCATTTACGATGACAACGACTGCATCAACTCGGTATCACTATTGTGATCACTACTACACGGCACAGAAGGACCAAGCAAAAGTGGTGGCCTCATCGCCAACGACATCCCCTGACATATGCAAGACGTCCCCAATGACATCCTCTGACATCTACAAGGTGCAAGATGTTAACAATTGCAGTTTCGTCTTCACAACAACGTAAAAAAATTTTCGCCTTCGGCTACATGCGGCTACACCTAGAACCATGGCTACTTCATGATCGGCAACATCGATGAACGTCCACAACAAAAATCATTGACGGAAACTTCAGTCAAAGCGTCCATGTCATCGCTATCGTCCATGCCACTCTAGCTATGATTGCGGGAGGGAGAATAGAGGAGAGTCAAGGGACGAAACATAAGGGGACGCAGGTACCAGGTGGAGGACCGTCCATGAGAGATGCAATCGATGATGGTGAGTCAAAGAAGATGAAGAAATAGAAAATTTCAAATCCAGTCGTAATTGTTCGCTTCGCTTCCGTTACGACTGAGGGGGAATGTTAGAAGTACAAATATGTTGGTTAGAGATAAGAGCCAAATACAAATTATATAGATAGAATCCTAGAGATAAAATAGAGTCCTAGAGATAGAATCCTAGAGATAAATCTACCCTTATTTGTATTATACTCCAAGTCTCTATCTCCTTTATACTCCTATATATACCCCATGAGAGGGTCAATCTAATAGATTACAAAATAACATAATACAACAATTAGATTTTTCTACACTTTAGAATTTTCATCAAGTATGTTCATATACATCGACTTGATCACTTTTTTTTGTGCCGTGTAATTTGCCTCAGGATACTATCATTTAGAGCAGATACAATAGCAGAATATAAGCCAACTATAAACACACATCGAGAAGATAAAAGAAGAGAGATAAGCAGCGAGCTACAAGTCTGTAGCCAGCTGCAGCACGGACTCCAAGACACAATATGTGTATGATAGGTGAGACCATGTATTAATAGTGTAGTATATGTTTAAATCAAGTTTAATAGTATAGCTCATTAGTAGCTCCAATTCATCTACAGTCAATCTAATAGCCAATTCATACAATAGTTGCTTACTATATTATTAATATATGGTCCCACCTGTCTACACACGCTGCGTCTTGGAGTCTGCTGCTTTTCTCTCTCATATTTTATCTCATTAAAATATGTTTATAGTCGGCTAATAGTCTGCTATTATATCTGCTCTTATAGATAACTATTGTATGAATTGGCTATTATATTGACTATAGTTGACTTGGAGCTAGTAGTTGACTATATTATTAAACTTGCTCTTATCAGACATACTAACTAATTTTCACCCCTCGTGTTCTCGTCAACGGTCAAACAATAATTTGAAACCCTTCTTATGTCCTCAGCAATAAGCAATTTGAAACCCAACATATGGTGATGCTAGCTCACTATCCTAGTGGTGACAGAGTTGTCTATGAAAATTTAACATAAGACATCAACCTTGATCCTTTATCTCTATCTCTCCTCGGTTACCTCCAATACATTTCGGTCTCGGGAAAATGTAGCCACAGTGAATGTGGTCAAGGAGACAACCAATAGCGAATGCATAACCAAACTTTAGGAGGTGCCAATGAAACGAAGCAAACTAATATATATAATTAAGTGGATTAAATATAAGAGAAGTCAAACAAATTCATGAATATATTATAAGTATCTATTCAGAAAACTAAAAGAACTAATTATGCTACGATCATTAAGCTTCTCCTATACCTTTTTTTTCACGAACGCACAAAAGAATTGCACGTCAATATATTAGAAGAATAGAGTTTCGATACATTCTCCTATACCTAGCAAATATGAACATGTCTTTATAAAAAAAAGGTATCCACTGGTTTGTACGGGTAGTACGGGTTGAAACCCCTCTTGTTCCCCTGATCACCCCTTAGACAATAGTGTTTGGTTCGAGCATGAGAGCTTTAATTTGGCACTGGAGCGGAGCTAGAACGAAATGGAAGAGGGTGCCTCTTGCTTAATTTACTCTACTTTATATCAAGTTTAAGCTGATGGGTGTGTCTAAATTTGTATTAGGGGGGTGCATATATGGTGAAAATCGGTAGTTATAACTTTTTTTGACTGGGTTCCTAGGCACCCCCTCCCATACTCTATCTCCGTCCCTGGCATTGTGTACCTATGATCCATCTATCCCTGTTGTGGCGCTGCTGCCCATGGTGACCTCCTGCTTGGTGGTAACATCTCTTAAATTCTTTCTTGGTTCAATTTTTGAACTTTTTTGTTCAATTCTCTTCGCCTTCGATCATAAACAACATTCTCTCTTCACTTAGGAACCCATGCATTGAAAGACACCTAGGGGTCTGTTTGGCTCAACTCCAGCTCTATCTCTCTGGAAGCTGGAGCTTAGCCAAACAGTTTCAGCTCCACCTAAAATAGGAGCGGAGCTGGATGGAGCTCTCTCACAAAATGAACTAGAGAGTGCTAGGTTTAGGCTCCTCCACAGCTTCACTGCAGACCAACCTCCTAAAGCTAAATTTGGAAGTTGTAGCTCTGCCAAACAAACCGCTAGACTTCATCCTCGCTCTCTCTCTCCCCCGGAGGCTCATCCCTAATGTACCGTGCGAATCAACACGTTATAATGAAGTGTTGAAAATACTCATATCCATAACAATAGCATTATTGCTTATCGATTTCACGGGCCTCCTTCTCTTGTATATCCACAAACCCTACAATTCTCCCATATAAAATGCCAAAGAAGAAAGATAAAACAAAACAATGTTCACCTCAGAAGCTCATACATACATACTCACTGCATCATGGGCCCCCTTTGGAAGATCAAAACAAAGCCTCTTCTCTCCCCCTCTCCCCTCTCACCCCAATAGGCCAAAATTGATCACTGCAAAGTGGGCCCCACCTGTCAGCTTCCATGGCATGATCATTTCATCTTCATCCAAAAGATGCCCAATATTGCCATGGCATTCAGTCACATCACTCCCCGCCCCCGGTCTCCTTTCCCTCCTCCATCACACGAGAAAAAGCAGAGCCACTACTCCACTCGCTCGACGGCTGATTGCCTGCCTGCCTCCCCTCACCCCTGCTTCTCCTTCTCCCTCCTTCTCACTTTTCTTCCTCTCGGGCGCCTCTCCTCTCCATCATTCCTCCCACTGCTCCGCTCCCCCATTCCAATGGCCTCCAACCTCTTCCTCCTCCTCTTCTTCCTCGTCGTCTCCTACGCGCCGTTCCTCGCCTTCTCCTCCGAGCCCCTCAACCCTGAAGGTACGTGCCCTTGTCTGACGTTTCTTGGAACCGAAGATGGCTGCGGCTGATGAGACCGCATGTTGGTTGTATTTGGCGCGGCGAATGCGCGTGCAGTGGAGGCGCTGATCGCCATCAGGCAGGGGCTGGTCGACCCGCACGGCGTGCTGAACAACTGGGACGAGGACTCCGTCGACCCCTGCAGCTGGGCCATGGTCACCTGCTCCGCCCACAACCTCGTCATCGGCCTGTAAGCTCGCTCTCTCTCTCTCTCTCTCTCTCTCTCAGTCTTCGTCGTCGTCGTCTAGCTTTTGCTTGTTTTGAGCAACTTAGCGAGAGACCGGAAATGGCAGCCGACCGGCTCGATCAGCTCCACTAATGCGTGCTTGTGTACCTCGTCTCAGGGGAGCGCCCAGCCAGGGATTGTCGGGGACCCTGTCCGGCAGGATCGCCAACCTCACCAATCTTGAACAAGTGTAAGCAAGAGAAAGAAACTTTTGTTTTCTTGTTTAATTGCTTCTGTTAGAGATTCCAATCGATTCATCTCGTGTTCTTGGGAGAAATGGAGGAGGAAGAAGCAGAGCAGAGCATCAAATGGTGATGATGACGTCGTTTGTCTTCGACTTTGTTTTCAGGCTGCTGCAGAACAACAACATCACCGGCCGGCTGCCGCCGGAGCTGGGCGCGCTGCCGAGGCTGCAGACGCTCGACCTCTCCAACAACCGCTTCTCCGGCCGCGTCCCCGACACGCTCGGCCGCCTCTCCACCCTCCGATACCTGTCAGTCACTTCTCTCCCCCCAACACATTCCATTCCATTCCATACTTTACTACTCTACACTAAAGCTAAAATAGTTTAAGTTCTTCATGGTTGTCTCACTTGCGTGTTAATCTTGCCGCAGGAGGCTAAACAACAACAGCTTGTCCGGGGCGTTCCCGTCGTCGCTGGCCAAGATCCCACAGCTCTCCTTCCTGTACGCTAATTAATCCAACTCTGTCAAATCGTCTCAATTCTTTTTGTCTTGCATAGCCGATGAACGGATCGATGTGATTGATCTTGGTATGGTTTGGTGTGCATGCGATTTTGCAGGGACTTGTCCTACAACAACCTCACTGGCCCTGTTCCTCACTTCCCCACAAGAACATTCAAGTATGGACTACTCCTCCCTAGTACCACTGCTCGTGCATTCGTCTTCTTATTCTATTCCAGCCGCCACTAGCTATAGCTCTGTTACAACTTATAAAATACTATAGAAATATCCCTTGGATGTTTTCGAATCTGATGCCGTGTTTTTTTTTCCTTTTTCAATCATGTTATGCGTGCACGCATGCAGCGTCGTGGGCAATCCAATGATATGCGGGAGCAGCAGCGGCAGCCATGCGGGGAACGCGAACGCAGCGGAGTGCGCCACCGTGGTCGCCCCGGTCACCGTGCCATTCCCGCTGGACTCCACTCCGAGCAGCAGCAGCAGTGAGTCCAACCTCCTCTCGTCTTGTCTTTGCATTCTTGGGATCGATCGGTTTGGGGGATCGGAGGGAGTTTAATCGTGTTCGTTTGGGCGTATGTGCATGCATGCGCGGTGTACGTGTGCACTGCAGGGGCGGCAGCGGCAGCGGTGGGGAGGTCAAAGGGTGGAGGAGGCGCCGCGCGGTTGCCGATCGGAGTAGGGACAAGCCTTGGCGCCTCCGCGCTTGTGCTCCTCGCCGTCTCCTGCTTTCTCTGGAGGCGCAGGCGCCGGCACCGCTGCCTCCTCTCGGGCCCCTCCTCCGTCCTCGGCATCCTCGGTACGCCACGTCCCCATCAACACCAGTACTAAAATGCACGATCGATCAGTTAGTTAATATGTGAGTGTAATTGGTGATTTCAGAGAAGGGGAGAGACGTGGAGGATGGGGGAGGAGGGGAGGTGATGGCGAGGCTGGGGAACGTGAGGCAGTTCGGGCTGAGGGAGCTGCACGCGGCGACGGACGGGTTCAGCGCGAGGAACATACTGGGGAAAGGAGGGTTCGGGGACGTGTACCGGGGGAGGCTCTCCGACGGCACGGTCGTGGCGGTGAAGCGGCTCAAGGACCCGACCGCGTCCGGGGAGGCGCAGTTCCGGACGGAGGTGGAGATGATCAGCCTCGCCGTGCACCGCCACCTCCTCCGCCTCGTCGGCTTCTGCGCCGCGGCCTCCGGCGAGCGCCTCCTCGTCTACCCCTACATGCCCAACGGCAGCGTCGCCTCCCGCCTTCGAGGTACGTTACGTACGCTTAACGTGACACACGCAACACAGTGGTAGTGTCGATTTCGTGGGTGCGTGGTGTGTGGGTCCCGCGTGCGCGTTGGGGTGCACGCAGGAGTCATGGGGATGGATCAGTCGTAGTCCCCGTCCCCCTGTGTGTCAGCGTGGTCAGGCGTGGTCGCGCCTCCACCCCGTCCTGTACTTTGCCTCCTCCCCCACGGGCCCCACTCGCCAGGCGCCACCGCACTCACGTTTTGTCCGCTTCACCGGCGTGCGCGTCCTTCCTCGCTGCGCGGCGCAACAACGGCGTGCGGCTGGTTCACCGGCCGCCGCGGCTGTAGCAGTAAATTGGGCAAACATGATGACGAGTGGTCATCAGGGGCTCAGGGTTGAGGTCTGGGTGTAACGCGATCATTGCGATGGTTTTTATACAGTACTACCTCCGTCCCAAAATAAGTGTAGCCATAAGTTTCTGTACCCAACTTTGATTATCCGTTTTATTTGAAATTTTTTTATAATTAGTATTTTTGTTGTTATGAGATGATAAAACATGAATAGTACTTTATTCATGGCTTATGTTTTTAATTTTTTCAAAAAGTTTTTAAATAAGACGAACGGTTAAAGTTAGACGCGGAAAACCATAATTGTACTTATTTTGGAACAGAGGGAGTAACAGTAGGAGTAGTGCTGCCACGGTGCTTGGGGTTTTTGGAGATCGGTGTGGTGGTCCGGGTGGGAGGGGGCCACCGGTCAGGGGAGTTGCAGGGAAACGTTTGTTTCTTCTTTTATTCCGGCAGGGGGCCGGCCTCCTCCTCTCCCTAGCCGCAGCTGTTGCAGGGGAGGCAGCCAGCGGCAGCACAGGCTATACGTGCCCCAGCTACGCTACGAGCCCGTGTGTCTGGTCGCTGTTGCCGGCTTGTTGCTGCGTGCTCGCATGTGCCAACAAGTTTGTGGCATACTGTACACGTCGTTATTTCAGTAGTACGTACGTTGGCCGCGTTCGTGGTTTTTGTTCACGATGCAGGGGGACGTACGGGTTCTGTATACCCTACGTACCTTGCTGGTTCAAACATAGCAACTGTATGCAGCATTTATACTCACAAGCAATTGGCGTTTTGTTGTCTTGTGCTGCGCATTGAGAACTGAAATTGTTTGGAGCAAATTTTGTTGAAACATTTGTTACGCAAAAAATTTATGAAGGGAAGCCGCCGCTGGACTGGCAGACGAGGAAGCGGATCGCGGTGGGGACGGCGAGGGGATTGCTGTACCTGCACGAGCAGTGCGACCCAAAGATCATCCACCGCGACGTGAAGGCCGCGAACGTGCTGCTGGACGAGTGCCACGAGGCCGTCGTCGGCGACTTCGGGCTCGCCAAGCTGCTCGACCACGGCGACTCCCACGTCACCACGGCGGTGCGCGGCACGGTGGGGCACATCGCGCCGGAGTACCTCTCCACGGGGCAGTCGTCGGAGAAGACCGACGTGTTCGGCTTCGGCATCCTGCTGCTCGAGCTCGTCACCGGCCAGCGCGCGCTCGAGGTCGGCAAGGGCTCCGGCGTCATCCAGCACCAGAAGGGCGTCATGCTCGATTGGGTAAGCATGCACTTCCACATTTCTTCTCCAATTTTCAGCTTTTTTTAGCTGCTGTTTGAGCCGTGATCGAAAAGATGTTGCACTAGTTCTTGTTTGACGAATTAAAAGCCTCGGTTGCTTTGATCGAGCCCGTACGTGAATGTCTTTGGTAAAGTTCGCAAATCTTTTGCGAAAGATCCATCCAGTACACTAGCATGTGCGTTCATTGCGCGCGCGGTCACTGGCTCACTGCACTTTGAGGCGCTGCTCATTCAATAGCAACTTCTAGTGAATCTGATGCTCGAATGACAGTAGTCAGTAGGCGCCCCAACTGTCAGTCTAAGATTAATTGCGAGTACTATGAACCTGACATACTAACGCAATCCTGCAAGCATTGCCACTGCATGTTTGAATGCTGATCGTCCTCCCACGTACTGTTCACTCTGCATATGGCATGCAAATGACTTGCTTCTGAAAAATGACAATGTCTTCAACTACTTAATCTCCATGTGTAAATGATCTGAAAATTTTCTTCTTTTTTGTTTTCGTTCGATCGTGTTATCAAAATGAAGGTGAGGAAGGTGCACCAAGAGAAGCTGCATGACTTGCTAGTGGACCAAGATTTGGGGCCTCACTACGACAGGATAGAGGTGGCGGAGATGGTGCAGGTGGCGCTGCTCTGCACCCAGTTCCAGCCGTCTCACCGGCCGAGGATGTCGGAGGTGGTCCGGATGCTGGAGGGAGACGGGCTCGCCGAGAAATGGGAGGCCAACCACCGGCCGGCGGCGATGGCGGCGGCGGCGGCGCCCCATGAGCTCGGCTACGACCACCGCAACGACTCCAACGGCTCCGTCTTCTTCAACGACTTCCACGACAACGACAGCAGCCTTAGCAGCGACGAGGTGCGGTCCATCGACATGGTAGAGGAGATGGAGCTGTCAGGGCCAAGGTAGCAGCAGAATGCAGCAGAGCATTCAGAGCACTGAAAAAGAAATTCAGAGAATCAGATATTCAGGGAGAGTACTTCAGGAAAAAAAGAGAAGAAAAATATATTACAGAGGGAAGGGATTGGATTTGTTGCTAGCTGGAGTAGTACGAGTAGTTTCAAAGTGATTGAGATGCTTTTTAGTTTTAGACCACAGTGTGTAGTTTCTGTCTGATCAAAGAGAGGCCCTTTCCCCGAGAAAGATGTAAAGAAAAAGGGGCTCCTCCTCTCCGGTTTCTCTTTTGCTTCTTTTCACAGGCTTCTTTATCTTTTGCTGCTGCTGCTTTCTTTTCTCTCTTTCTTTTGTTGATTTGGGGACGGACATGGCACATGCAGCGCTGCAGAAGACCTTTGGTTTGCATTCTGGCCCTGATCTCGAGCAAACTTTTGCAGTACACCCCTGTTCATATATGTATGGGCTTCTTCTGAATTCTGAACTCCTTATCTGTATCACTGTATGTAAGGGGAGGGATGTTGATAGAGCCTTGAGAGAGACATGGAGTCATTTTGACTGCTTTGTGACCTGTAAAGATAATCACTCCATTTCTTTTTGTATGTGCAACAGTAAATGATCGAATCTGATAGTGGGAATGTTGGATGCATTGTTCTCACGAAAATCTAGGGTGCAGCATTGTCACTTTCCTTAATCTGCAAAAGGAGTACTATGCTATGCATGCTTGGCAGTGTCATGGTCATGGCCCAGGCGATTGATTTCTTGGGGAGCCGTCTGGGCCAGTGGGTCATTCATGAGGAATCTGTATGGTACAACTGAACTACGGAGTGGCGGAGTGCCCATCTATGAGCTATGATAATCAAAACGATGACACACAATGCTTCAGATTGTTTTATGGTTGCAACTTATAATTGATTTCACTGAGGCTTTCTTTACAAACTGTATTAAAATATAGCTGTTGATTTATTAAAAGCTGATCTCCCATCTTCAATAAGAGGTTTCATGCTAAAAAATGCTGGTATCGAGCGCTTCATTGAGCCTCCTGACATGAAAGCTAGCTTGTAGGCCAATTTAGGCTCGACCTGAGCTTCTATCCAGCTCAAGCTTGCTTGGTTGATAGCCCTAACTTCAGACATACTAATAACAAACACTTGCAAAAACATTCAGTAAATAGTTACTGCAAATTCTAATCTCCTCCAATACTTGTCCTTGCTAGGTATAAAAACACCCTCCAACTATCTAGAGGGAAATGGAGTATACTCAGAACAAATTCAGATGCATATGGTTTTATAGTGTAGGGTGCTAGACAGACGTTCACTCAAAGTTTAGGATATATGGAGTCTAAAGAATAGTATATAGCACTGTATCAATATTTACACTATGCGTTTGTCGTACTTACATAGTAGTAAAATTTGAACACATCAAAGAATGGTGTATAGGGTACCCTATTGTATAACACTATTGCAAGCCTAAACCAGAAGGATGAGTACGAACAAATTGTCTATGACACATTGTAAAGACAGGAATAGAATGTGCTTCCCAATCAATATTCACTATATGTTGAATTTACTGCCATTTGCCATGGCCTTGGACCTTCTATGTACCTCCTAACAGCATACAACTTAAATCAATCTTTACCACTCACAGACATATTCCCTTGGCAGTTTTGAGCCCCGCAAAAACATTCTATTTCAGGACCATAATGTTGCTCGAATCTACAAAACAGAAGCCAGAATACTGTGGTCATCAACTGCATCATGCATATCCTTTTTCAAGCAAATAGAGGATCTCTTTGTGATTCTGTTCAACACCTTTTGAACCAAAGTAATATGACAACTGTTTTTTTTATTTTGTTTATGGAAAAATCTCTTTGATGGTCACTAATGAGTGTATTAAATATATACTCAAATAAGAAAGTAATTGTCATGAAAAATTCCTTTGGAGTATAAATATATACTAAGAAATTACTTTCACACAAGGGGATGTACGACCCAAATAAAAAAAATCCTATGAAAGTAATTTTCATGACAAATGAGCAGACGATTTTCATATATGCAATCCAAATAAGGAAAAAAAATGTTGATACTCAAAATTTCGAATTTTGGTTGCATTGCATTTATGCCCAAAAGTGATATTAATAACCAGAGGGAGTAGAAATAATATTCTATTCTGATAGTGTTTTTCAAGAGAAATATGCAAATATCATATGATTCTCATATTTACCAATCAAAATATTAAAATAAGATATTGATACTAAGTTTTGAAAATCTCGGTTGCGTGTATGTACTCCGTACAAAAGATATATATATTTGAGGCCAAAGAAAGCAGATTCAATTGTCATATAGTGATAGGTAATATATACTTCCTCCGTTTCATATTATAAGACTTTCTAGCATTGCCCACATTCATATAGATGTTAACGAATCTAGGCATACATATATGAATGTGGGCAATGCTAGAAAGTCTTATAATCTGAAATGGAGGTAGTACTTTTCAAGGATTTACCAAGTACTCAAATGAAACTGGGATAAACATGCAAAAAGAACTATGAAACATAATTACCAATACTTAGTACTCCCTCCGTTTCACAATGTAAGTCATTCTAACATTTCCCACATTCATATTGATATTAATGAATCTAGACATATATATCTATCTAGATTCATTAAAATCAATATGAATGTGAAAAATACTAGAATGACTTACATTGTGAAACGGAGGGAGTAATTAGTATTACACATATAATTGAATAGAAGTCTCAACATATATTTTTATGGTCATAATATTTTGTAGGCTGAGCTAACAGTTCTGAGTTATGCACTTCAGCAGGCGAAAACTGAATAATGCGAGAATAAGAAAAATCTTTGATGGTAAAAAGATAGGTTATAAAAATCAGGTTAAAATTCTCGTGCTGTAAAGGACAAAAACCCTTCATGGTGATAAGAACAGGTACCTGTAGTCGTAGGTCAAGGGTTCCCCCACTTCTATAGCTTTTGAAGCAAACACACCTAGCCTTGTCTTGCCATTGACTTGCCTGGAAAAACAAAAAAAAAAGTAATTGAAACAATCTTAATTTGTTTAAGCAGAAAGCTTAGCTACCAAATGACCAATTTAACAAGAAAACAACCCTAAGCAAAATGTGAAATTGATATAATGCATCAGCGAGTAAAGAGCACTCTAACCATTTCTGTAACTGGCAATTAGGTTCACAACTGTGGTTAAAAAAGCGGCAATCATTTCCTTTGAATGTTGCATCAATTACAAAGTCCTTTTTGACTTTACACATGTAGAAATTCTTATCTCCACGCCTTCTCATGTCCTCAAGCCTTTCTTCACAAGTCTCATCATCAATAACTGGTATAGCATGTTAAGAACAGAGAATTAAAAGGAAGTTGCATCATTTGGAAAACATAGAAGACAGACCAGTATATTAGTGAGCGCCACTCAAAAGCATTCTCTTCAATAGAACTGATATCTGGAAAGAAAATTATAATTTAAAATACACTGCCTTTTCAAACAGCTCTGGAAGAAGATTGTATCAATGATCTGGTCAGAATAGTGTTATTAAATACTATAGCAAAAATTGCAAGAAAATTATGAACAGTGCCTCACTAGGATCAATAGACACTATGAAGGTCATCACAACAACCATTTGCTCCAAAGCACACTACTAATTCAATGGACATTGAACATGGAACTTAGAAGGGATGTTTCTACATGAGTAGATCCACAAAATGAGGGATCTTGATTCTTTAATTTTCTAATACCTCCATTACAATTTTGCAAAGATGGTAAGGCACGGTGTAATCAACTAAAAAATAAAACCATGTCTAAGTTGTTGCGCACAAAATAAATAAAATACTCCCTCCGTTTCTAAATATTTGACGCCGTTGACTTTTAAAAACATGTTTGACCGTTCGTCTTATTCAAAAACTTTTGTGAAATATGTAAACCTATATGTATACATAAAAGTATATTTAACAATAAATCAAATGATAGGAAAAGAATTAATAATTACTTATTTTTTTTGAATAAGACGAATGGTCAAACATGTTTTAAAAAGTCAACGGCGTCAAATATTTAGAAACGGAGGGAGTATAAGCCATAAATGAGCTTGACAAGTGAGGCTTAACTACACTAACCTTGCAAATGGCCTGTTAGGTGATTATACCGATAACTCAGCAAGTTATAATTGTTAACTGGATTATACTATGTTTTACTTAACAGTAACAGGTTTGCCTGGTAGATCTGGTTTTAAAACGATTCATGACGCATGACCATATAACATTAATTTAATTATTAGCAGCCAGAAAGGAGCAAGGATAAAAAGGTAAGTTTAAATATCATATACAATTAACCGATAGACTGCTATAATAAACAACAAACAAAGGGCATATCTTAGCACTGCATAAAAAAGTGTTACAGAGGCAATAGTATGGAACATCAAACTATGCTGAAATATACATTATCATGTGGAAAAAGGTATTCCAATATTAAGTTGGAAAATAAGCTAAAATAGATCTAACTTTGTCCTGGTAATAGTTTTTTTTTCGGGGAGAAAACAAAGCCCAGTTATTAGTGTGTTTCTACCAAATCATCTAGATAGGTAAATTGGGAAAGTTGGCAGGTACGAAAGGTAGAACTATTGTTCTGCAATAAACAAAAGTAAGCAGAGCTAAAAAGTTTTCAGGCAAGTTCCTTCAGTACTGCCCTATGAAAGTAATTTAACAGGTTTAACATATGTAAAATCCTTTGATAAAATAGTCCACAAAAGCATAAGTAAGAAGAAGCAGTGATCTGAATAAATTACAATAAAATGTCTAAGCAAACCAAATAATGAATATCTTATACCTTCTCCAACAAATTCTATGACAAAATCATCTTTCTCAATGGCTTCCAGTGCTCTAGATCCCCATCCACAATATTGTGTCTGCAGAAGTATTCCACTAATAAGTAGGTTGTCAAAGAGAAACAATAGTGACAGAAAATAATTTCAAAATCAGATCTCCAAAGCACAATCAAGCACAGCATAAGAACACATAAAGAAAAGGGCAGCATTAGTACTTTAGGAAAAGATCCTTACATGTATCAATATCACCAAGACAACTATGGAACTTAACTGCCCTCCAAAAACTCAGCAGTCCATGACAAGCCTTACCTTAACGATCTCAATCTTTTTCTGTCGGCGAAATGGTTTGTTAGTGCACTCATCTGAGCAGTGACAAGCCCGAGAGCAGCTAACCAATAGAGACCTGTAGGAATTATCTTAATTTTCTGTAAAAAAATAAAAAATATATATTTTCTTTTTAAATCCACATACATTTATGGCCAATGAGCATAAGAGAAAACACTATATCCAATGAGCAACAGGAGAAAGTCTGATAAGCTGCACATAATAAATGGAATGGATACTTTGTACCTGCATGAACAGCTTAATTTACAGGTAAAATCAGGGAGACAATTAGTGCATCCACCTTCAATGGAATCATCATCACATTTGTTCTTGACAAGATAAAGATCTTAGTTCATTAAGGGAACAATAGTTGTTGAAGCACTCAAAGCAAAAGGAGTAAAAACTGGATAAGCATAAACTCCTTTTACACTAAATAGAGCTACCTGTAAATAGAAAAAGGTGCATATTTTAAATTACAAGCAATAAAAGGATACTACGCTTCATGTGTACATATGGAGGTGGTTCTGTCCCATTGTCCAATTCCTCTTTCTTTATAGGGTCAATGTTGAACTCTTGGAAAGTGTGTGGGAGGGGTAAGCGCCGGAAGGCTTCCTGTAAATCAATCAGAGCACACATCAAAGAAAAATTGTAGAAACAAAATACTGAACTGAAAAACTAGAAAGACATCCATTGCTGTCACATTTTATCCTTCAATTTGTTTCCACGAAACAAATCATCACAGATTCAAACAAGCACATATAGAATGAGTAAAGAATCAAATCATTTTTCAAAAATCAAGTTAGCAACTAATAAAATTCTTCACTGAGCAAGTGAAACAAAAACATGTGATCTAACATAATGCTATGCATCAGACTCAGTCACATCTCAGCAGCCAACTTTAAAGAATAGGTGATGCACCTTACACATATAGATAGGTTGTAGTGTTCAATAATACAGATGAGACCTATGAAAAGGAAGTATAGATCACCTCTATACCATCTGTTGGACCTGCATCCTGTAATTAGCAGATATCACGATATCAATGAAATTACCATCAAAAGACAGAAAAAAATTGCAGAAATAAAGACATCTAACAGAGAATCAAGTAATGTTAATAGAAACAAAGCAGGTACAGGTATTAAATTCTTAATATTTTAAATAAGGATTTAAGAAAAACTCTAAGTCAACCCAGTAATCTTTTGCAACATATAGTAAGCAAACTCATAAATAGTAGGATGGCGTTTTCAATGAGGCACTCTATTCTCATGACATTACTAATTAATCTTCACTAAGTGCAAAATCATTTTAACGCCTGGTCATGGTGAGGAAACGATGAAACATTAAATTTGCAGCTATACATGCCAATGGTTTAAGGTTTCAAGTTACATCCACATTCTCTGATCAGCCAATATCCAACTCTTGTATTAACCCCTTTATTAAATAAGCAACATATGCAGATAAGGATAAGTGGTTGACACACATATGCAATTTGAAACTCTCAGTTTCTCTTTATCAATAAACTGTAATTATTGATTGCTATTATGTAGGGCTGAGATGTGTCAAAAGTCTCAGTTATGTACATATGGATATTTCAATCTGCTTCATTTTTCAGGCAATGAGAAAACATTGAGAAACAACTGAAATATAGCAGTAACTTGGTTTCAGAAGCGTACATGTCGAGGACAGCATCCATCACCTTTTTCAGAACAAGCCTTATGCAGCTTTGCATCACAATCACGAACTGAACAACACATCTTGTCATCAGGCAGAATACTCTTTGAGCAAACCAGGCACTCAACCTAAATCCAAAATGATTTAGAGGACTCCTTTTTTCCAGTAATCAGGAGGTGTCACAATACCTTTTGTACTTCAATAAAAAAGCAGATGAGTAGTATACATTCAAGTAATACTGAGCAGAGACAACTTGATATTAACATCCTATGAGCCAAAATTTTCCAGCTGGACCAGAATGCTATGGTAAGATTTTCTTGTCATTCTTCCTTCATTTCTTGATGAAGCTTTCTTCTTTCTTGTATTAGCTAATAAGATTCTCTGGTTAAAATTCTACACTGAAGATGTCCACACACTGACTTCATTTATACAGCAGTTCTAAGCTTCCTTTCCTGTTATTTATCAGCAACCAGACATTTGAATAACAGCGGCAAGCAATGCCTCCAAACCTCCATCTATTCAGACTCTAATAATATGAGCTTCTTCTACCAGTTATTAGTTAAATAATCGCATAGTCATCAATTTCTATACAGGTTACTGAATAATTACTGTATGGAGAACATTTGAGCAACATATAATATACATCAGGGTTTCTCATGGGAGAGGGAGACATCCATACAAATATCTGACCTCTTCAGCAAAAATTCAGTTTCTTCAGGTTGCATGCATATAGATCGACATCCCATTCCCATATGCGATTATGCGCAGTAGTTGAGGACTACAGTTCAAGCCCCATCCCTGCCTTAATTAAGAAAATGTTTACTCCTATACATCCAGCTCTTTTTCTTGCATAGAGCTTAACTCTTCCATATTTTCTCTTCAGATATTACTTGCTTTCCACGATCAGTTCAGTCCATATTCATATATGTACAGAAAGTGACCTATCATTTGTACCATTTCTACAAATCGTTATCTGTTGTTTACAAACTTTGAATTCCATCACCATTCACCATTTAACTTGGTTTCTCATTATGCTTTTAATAACCAGCTACCCAAAATTTAATGAAACTAGCTTTCTTGGAAATACAGTTGGTGTCCTTAGTCCAACTGTCCTAACACAAAATGAATTTCCATTCCACTTACATTTCCTACTGTAATGGGAATGTTTTTCCTGTAACTCTACAAAAATTGAAGATTTAACCCTTAGCCATCCATATCCCTGTTGCAGCCCTTGCTATACCTTCAAGCTCAATATCACTGTATCCATATATCCAAATCCATCTAGTCCAAGAACTTTTACAATGTCGAGCTTATCAAGATTATATAATGATGAAAACCGATATGAAATTTCAGCCTGTACCCCAAATTCTCTGCCATCCACCTCTTCTCAAGAAAGCTAAAAATCTTATGTTGTATTTCTCAAATTTCTGGGTGACCCATGACAACAATTGTAGTCATTCTAACCAGTCACAATATACAGTGGTGCTAACAGTGAATCAAACATTTGTGCTATTAGCTGGTCTGTAATATAAAGCATAACAAAAGGGTGTTATACAGATAGTCCAAAATTGAATCAGCAGATTGTACAGTGATGCTACAAATGTCCAGACCATATACAGCTACACTAGATTTCTGAACCATCAAGAAACCCAGAGTTATATAAAGTTCTATACACTTCAGGCGATGCAGACAATGAGTTTCTCACAGCTCACGTGTCAAAAAGTAACAGGAAACAAAAACTTTTAACCAAAAGCATGAACGTTTATAAACACGTTTCAGATGACACGGTGTAAAATTGCCTAAAATAAATGGAGGCAGCTATACTTTAATTTCATATCCTAGAAGTAGAAGGCGATATCAACATACTGTCATATTACCAAAATGAAGACATATCTAGTTGTAACCCTTATACACAAAGTTGGACCCTACATTTGCTAATAGTTGAATTCTGAGGTCATACAACCCCAGATTGCCAAAATACCACCCTTCCACGGAGAAATCAAAGCACCACAACAGCAATAGGCTGCAATTTTCGTAGTGTGCAGGGGCAAATCCACCATAGAACATCGCAAGGAAGCCCGAAGAGGGGAACTAGTGCATTAATTACCCACGCAACCTAACGATCGAACCCTGGGAGCCAAATGCTACTACTAGAAGAGAACGAATTCGATAGTTTCAGCTCGCTACCTTCTTAGGCGCATCTTTCTGGAGGAAAGGCAGGACGCACTCCTCCTCGGGGGCCCCGGAAGCTGCCTTCTCCTTCGCCCATTCCGCCGCGAGCGCCTCGATCGACGGGCGCGGGGGCTTCGCGGGGTCCTTGGGCTTCCTCGCCACGGGTGGCTTCACCCACGGGACCACACGCACGCGGTGCCGCAGGCTGATGCGGAACGAGCGGCGGGGACCCACGCCGCCTTCACTAGTCACCGCCACCGCCACAGCGGGCGGAGGCTGTTGATCGCCGCCGCGGCGCCGCGCGGGCGGGGAGGCCGAGCCGGAGGGAGCCTCCGACGCGGCCTCGGTAGGATGCGAGGGCTGTCGATCACCGCCGCGGCGCCGCTCGGGAGGGGAGGCCGCGCCGCGGAGAGCCTCCGACGCGGCCTCGGGAGGATGCGAGGGATGTAGATCACCGCCGCGGCGCCGCGCGGGAGGGGAGGCCGCGCCGCGGAGAGCCTCTAACGCGGCCTCGGGAGGATGCGGGGGCTGGTGATCACCGCCGCGGCACCGCGCGGGCGGGGAGGCCGCGCAGGGGAGAGCCTCCGACGAGGCCTTTGGAGGATGCGGGGGCTGTTGATCATCGCCGCCGCGGCGTCGGCCGAGGCGCGGAGGGGGGCGGCGGCGGCGGCGGCTGGGCAGGGAGGAGGAGGAGGAGGAGGTGCCCGGTGCCGGGCCGGGAGGGCCCGCCATCGGCGGCGATGCCGGGGAGGATGCGACCGGAGGAGGAGGGTAGAGCTAGGGTTTCCGCCGCGCCGCGCCGCCGTTGCTGCGGTTTGGGGGATTCGATTGGGCGGTTGGGTTGAGGAGAGGGGAGAGAGGTGGAGTGGAGGGGGAGGGCGGGAAGAGGAAGAGGAGGAGGGGAATCCCACATGCGCGTGCGCTGCGGTGTGGGGTAGTGGAAGTAATGGTTCGTTTTTGGCACCGGCCGTTGGGGAAGGAGATCGTTTCAGCCCTTGATCTCTAATCGGATGGCTAGGATTTGCGGATTTTTAGTGGAAGTTATTGAAGCGTTCTTTTTAACATAAAAAAGAAAAGGTAGATTTTTTAATGCGAAAAAAATAGAATTGATGATGTATAACAATGCAGGTTTATTGCAACAGGAAATAACTTGCGATGAAACGCATAAACTAGCCTTCGTATAAAAACGGCAATATGTACTCTTTATTACGGTAAATTCCCCTTCGCAGAGATGGGCAACAAATAAACCAATATTTTACTCTTCCTCCAAACTACTAGTATTTGCGAGTAAGCAACTAATCCTCAGTTCTAGCTTCTCTCTCTCTCTCTCTTTTGAGAGAGAACTCAGTTCTAGCTTCTTGACAGCCAAAACTTGGGAGGCCTTCCCTTTCGGCCATCCCTGCCGGCCCATATCAATTCTCCCAGCCCATCCCCTGAATAGGCCCAAATTTGATTCGATCTTTCCAGCCCATCTACGGGAACAGGCTGGGATTGTGGGCCTCCCGAAACACCCTGGTCGGAGTTGAGAGTTCAGACGTCGAGCTCGAACTGAAACATGGGCGCCGCGTACGCGCCCAAATCCCCGAACAAGAACGTGTCCACCTCCGGGTACCCGAAGCCGTCGTCGTCCAGCCCGAAGTACGTCTGCACGTCGTCCGGGAAGCTGCACCTCGCCGCCGCCACCGACGACATGTCGACGTTGTACTGGTCGTCCTTCGGTACGGTTGGCTGCTGCTGCGGCGGCGGCGATGGCAATGGCGACGGCGACAGCGATGACGACGACGAAGAAGAAGGTGAGTCTGTGCTGCTGCTACTGCTGCTACCAGAGGACGACGCCGCCGCGGCCGCCGCCTGCTCGATGATCTCCTTGAACTTGGGCGACCGCAGCAGCAGTCCGATCGGGGAGGTGGACGCCGCGCGAGCCAGCGGCCTCAGCTGGGGCGGGAGCTGCGCCACGAGGTCGTCGTCGTCGTCGTCCGCGGTTTGCAGCTGGCGCGTCGTCGCCGGCGACGACGACGGCTGCTCGTCGACGCCTTGCAACGCGGCGGCGATGGCTTCGGCGAAATCATCGTCTTCGATGGTGGTGGCGGCGGCGGCGCTGCTGGAGCGGCAAGAGCCGTGGTACCACCTGATGTAGAGATTGATGTCGAAGTTGGTGACGGCGTTGAGGCCGCGGTGCTCGATCGCCGCGATGTCGTACGCCACGGCCGCCTCCTCTTGTGTTGCTGACAGATCGTACGGAAAAAAGAGCACCGTGAGCCATGAACAAATAAAAAAAACATAGCAGAGGAAATCCATATGAAATGGTAAATTTCGTTCAGAAAAAAACAAGATGGTGGCTTAGATGAGATGAGCGAGGTTTCTCCCGCAAAAAAAGAGAAAAGAAAAGGAAAAAAAAAAGAAGAAGAAGAAAGAAAGAGCGTGGTTTGGTTTTGTGGCTGTGCATTGCTGAGTTGGGTGTGGGAGTGGGTCACTGTGGCGTGTGGCTGCCTGGGACTCCTGTCTCCTGCCATCCTGCCTGCGTCCAGGCCCAGTGAACCAGTGGCCTTGCCAGTTGCCACTGCTTGGTGCCTGTCTGTCTGTGGGCCCCACGGACAGGAGGGAATATAACGACTATAAAGTGCGCTTGCTAAATCAATCCCATTTAAATTCATCCAAAAAAAATTGAAAATTTTGAAAATCTAACAAGTTACATTTGTTGAGCCTTAGGCTTAGCAAACTCCTGCCTCCGTCCTTGACTTCAAAGTGTACTTTTAGAATTAGTGTTTCAAACATATTGCTCGCATATGTATGTTGATAGATTATCTACTTGATTATACGAAAACTTAAATATTATATATAATAAACCTAATAAATACATAATACATAAAGAATAAACCAATCTAGGTGGTACAATGAATCTGGACAAAGAGATTGTGTGATTGTGTCAGATCGTCACCTAGATTGATTTATTTTAGGACAGAGTAAGTAACTTATAGCAAGTGAACCAAGAAGAAATGCACCACATTTTTTAAAAGAAGTGTGAAGCAAATAATCCACATATACCGACTTGTTCAACATACCGGTCGTTGTGGACTTTTTTTTTTTCTGGATTGCACGTCCCTTGTATTGTTGTACAGATGTGACAAAGAGGCAACGTTACGGTTAGCTAATAAAACTGATTTGAATTTGTGCAGATGCACGGCACATCATGCCACCGGTTTCTGCAGCAACTAGACACAACAGTTGGTGGCCAATTCATACGGATGCCATGGTGATTTATGAATTATTGACGAAAGGAAACAGGTCTAAAATCGTCAATTCAGTTCATGCTGGAAATTTTGCACATAGTTGCGCACAAAATCAAACAAAGGTCGTCCATCCTAGTCAGAGCTGGACCGCATCGGTCGGCTTTTAGCTACAGCGTACGGAAACATTTCTGTGGCATTCAGATGAACTGGCCCTACCAGAGTATGGCCATCGGCTGCTTCAAACATAACTCGGCGAATCTTATCCCAAAGATCATGAACTTTATCCTATTCAATTTCTTCGAATCCTAGTTTGGATAGCCATAGTTTGAAAGCTCTTTTGAATTCAGTGACATTCTTTCCAAACTATCTCTAATGTGCCTTTTCATCTTTACTTCACCAAGTGCCTTTTCGTCTTTGCAAAGGAGTAGTTAGTAGTTAGGTTCTACTTGTCTGAAGTCTTGAAGCCAACACATCAGCAATGTTCTTGGATGTGTCTAAAAAATTCTCTGTTTCCTTTGCAACTAACAGGTGTCACCTATCTAACAACGACACCCAATGGCTACCTTTTTGATAACGCAAGCTGACTCAGATAAGAAGAATCTATTCCATTGTAAAATTTATACTATTTCAAAGCTTTTTACCCGCAAGATAGATGACTGATTACCAGTTTAAGAACATTTTAATGCATACATATATAACAAAGTCACAAACTACTTACCATAAGTACCTAGGTAGAGGTATTTGTTGCCGAACACACGCCCAATCCGAGCCTCCCATTTGCCGTTGTGATGATGCCTGAATAAAACAGCTGTTAATTAACTGATTCTACTAGCAATGTTCAGTAGAAAACTGGAACCTTCAGTGTAGATTAGTACTGATTAACTACCTTGCAACTCCTCTGTACTTGGACACCCCTCTTGAGAAGCCACTGCTCTTCCTGCAGGGTGAAAAAGGTTTATGATCTTAATCAAGAAGAACTACTTCAAAACACAGCTTCTCAGACATGAATATTTCACTATGTCTGATCAGAGAAGCATATTTCAATGGGTTTTGATTTGGATTTTTCTGAAAGTTTGTAATGATCTGAATTAACTTCTCTTTGTTGAAAGTCAGTGGTAACATGGGGTTAACTGAATATTTACCTCCGGAGCGATCCGATGTACTCTTCCCTGGACTGCCCCTCCATTTCCTTCAATTCCTCGTCATATGTTGACAGCTGCAGAGAGTTCCAACATGAGAAAAACAGCAACAATCTTCCTCAGAAAACCAAACAGAATCAAACAAGCTGCACTGTGCGTGCATTTCTTGAAGGGTTCCGAAGAACGCTTGTGCAGAGGATTCAGTTCAGAGAAAGATGCCATGGATTTTTGGAGAGGCGTATGCCACGTACAGGGAAGTTGAGGACGGTGTCGTGGCCCCAGTACTTCAATGCGGCGAGGTCGTAGGCGCGCGCCGCCGCTTCCTCGCCGTCGTAAGCCCCTGCAACGCCGGCGCACAGACAGTGAGGTGGTCAGCAAACAATCCTTCTGCGTGGCCATGGATTTTGGTTTCAGAATGTTCAGATTGGGAGCTCACCGAGGTAAACTGTTCGTCCGGCCACGCCAATCCGATCGCAAAATCAGAGCAACAAGAGAGAACGCAGCGAAATCAGAATGAGCAAATTGTCTGACGAGCAGCTCGAGGGATGCAACTATAAGGTGGATTAATGGAGTGATTGGTGATGATACCTTGTCTGCCCTTCTTGCTCTGCGACTCGTTCCAGGTGTTCTTGTCCCAGAGATGCGCCTCGAACCGCCCCGTCCACCGGTGCCTGCGCGCCAAAAAAAAAAAAATCCAAACCACAAACGCTGTCAGCCCAGTGCGGCGAACGTACGCCGGTGAGAAAATCCGGCCAGCCAACGCACGCACCGTGTGACGCCGCGGAACGCGGAGCTGCGCTGGGAGGGGCAATCCCGCGGGGCGCTCCTCCGCGGCCGCTTCTGCCGCCGCCTCGGCTCAACCTCACCGCCGCCGCCGCCGCCGCAGACGCCGGAGCTAGAGTCGTCGCTGCTCGCGGCGGCGGTCTCGCCGTTGCTGCGTCGCTTGGCCATTGGCGAAGAGCGAGCGCGGGAGGAGGAGGGAGATGGTATATATGGAATGGTGGTGCCAACCAGAAGAAGATGGCAGCAGGAGAAGAGAGCTTTTAAAAGAGCCGGAGCTAAATAAATGGCGGCAAAGTTGCAGCCGCCGGCACAGCTTTAATATGCTCGCTCGCGTCGCCAAAATGGAGGAGACGAGGCGAGCTGAGCTGACCGGCGGGAGGAAGAAGAAGAAGAGGAAACAGAGAGAGGGAGTGAGGCGGCTAGCCTTGGGTTGCAGTGGTTTCTCTCTCCTCAGCTGTGTCCTGTCTCTCTCTCTCTCTGGATTTACCGGTGGCAGTGTTGCGGTGAATTATTGACTTCTTTGTCCCCAACTCCCCCCAATGTTGCTGAAAAACCAGCCACAAACTATCCGTCCTATAAAAAACCAACTTACTAAATGTGACACATCATAATATTATGAATCTGAACATATCTCTATTTAAATTTATTGTACTACAGTATGTCACATTCAGTACTAGATTTATTTTTTTTAGACGAAGGGAGTAGTTGCTAAACTCTCTGAACAGTTAAACCTGATTAAGTTACAGATTTTATTTTGATTTTTATTAATGTATTTTTTAAAACTGTAAAATGGTGTATTTTATAAATATCTCATAAATCGATTTTTCAAATTTAAAATATTAAAACTCAACTAATTATGTATTAATTTTTTACCGTACTTAATCTTCATCTTTAGCATATTTGAGGTCCCAGTTTGATTGTTCCGGTTCCGTTCTTTCACCTGATTATTTACTCTATGTATCTACAAAATACATTTCTTCTATTATTTTATAGATGACACCATTAATTTTTAATAGATGTTTGACCATTCATTTGACCAGATGAATAGTGAAACATATGTTTAAAAATCAGTGACCTCATCTATAAAAAAAATATGAAAATATGGAGCCAGTACGTTTTCTTATAAGAAAAATTCTCGATATTGTTTAGACCACATGTTATAAGTTAGTACAAGTTAAGTTTATTTCTTAAAGAGAAAAGTCTGAATTACCTCCTGAACTATTTGCAACAATACAAATTACCTCCTGAATCACAAAACTAGATATCCTTCATTCTCAACTTTTTATATCGGACGAATTACCCCCTAGTCTCTCTAGACAGTTTTCGTTCCACATGACGCATATGTGGCAGTCCAATCAGCATAAAAATTTAAAAATATAGTGGGCCCACATGTCATATCTCCCCTCATCCTCCATTGCTCACGTATGATATGTGGGCCCACTATTTTTAAATTTTTAATGCTGATTGGACTGCTACGTGTGTGTCACATAAGACGAAAACCGCTCTAAAGAGACTCAGGGGGGTAATTCGTCCATTATGAGAAGTTAAGGTGAATGATGTCTGGTTTTGTGGTTAAGAGGGAATTTGTATTGTCGCAATAGTTAATAGGGTAATTTGGACTTTTTCCTTTCTTAAAAATTTAATTTCTTCCTATAATGAAGCAGAATAATCTATCTCACATGGGGTTTTAATAGATGAATAAATGATGAATTATCGGGTTTTTATTGATATTCGAGGAGGCACGAGAGTTATAAACGAATAAAATTAACTATTACAATTCTAAACAATTTATATAGAAAATTTTAAAGAATCATAGGATTAGTCTGTAGGAGGAACATAGAATTAGTTATTGATTATTCTTTTTGTGAGAAATTAGTTCTTGTGGCTACTATTATCCCATGACATGGCTACGCAAGTGCTATTATCCCACTACAGAGATCGCACTAGCTGACTACTACTTCCACGGGTTAACTGAAATAGGCCGGCATTTTAATTCCTTAATAATGGCCAGGAGCAGTATACGGATTAGACTTTCTGCAAATTTCCAAGACTTCATGAGTGTAGCTGACATTCTCTTGTCTCTGACTGCAACTTTCAGCTGTCCGCTTCATTTCGTTAACGGCTCCACCCATCCGTCAGTAGTAGCACATCTGTTCTGATCTATACTGCCTGATTATGACCGGATTAGCAGATAGTATTATATGTCCAGTAACGTAACTGATCATGATCCGAAGAAAATAATAGAATTTTCTAGCCCTCGAAAATTGACTTAAGGTTAATTGTGTAGTAATAAGTACAGTACTCGGGATTCTCAAATCTGTTCCAAAGTCCAAACGATCATCAGTAAATGCAAGTACTTGTGTACGTATGCAGCTGAAATCTGAAAGGCTGATCTGCATGACCAAATTTGCAGAGTATTTACACACGATGTCAAACTGAGCATGCTGCCAGCATGCGTCTTTGCAAAACCGAGTCTAAATTGAATGGCTCTCCCATCATCAAAACATCAACAGAATTGGGCGAACATTTCCTTAATTCAGATGTCAATGTTGCAAGCATGCACCGTATTGAACGGTACGGCCGGTTGTTTTGAAGCAAGATTGCGTGACAAATTACTGATTAGGATTGGAAGATCGGAGCGTGAATTCATATTTGACACGCACGCTAGTACTAGCTAGCAGTTAGTAGTACCATTTTTCTGACTGAAAGAAGCTCATTTCTGAACGTGCTTCTTTTATTGACAAAGAACAAATTCCGGCCATTAGATATCCTCAAATTCTTTTCTTATCACAACGGGTCAGTAGATAAGGAAAAATATTTGCTCGGATTCTGACCTTTCATTATGTCAAGCACAAACCATTCATTGGATATTATAATTTACAGTATAATAAATTAATGTCAAAGAAGCTTGGGAGAAAAAAAGTATTTTTTATGGAAATTGGGAGAGAAATGTGGGCGTGCTTAGTTGGCAATCTTTGCATGAGAACCTGAGGGACATTTCCATACTGTTCAACAAGAGTTTGACTAATGACTGTACGTGTATCTTGATGTGCTTCTTAAAATAAACAAAAATCTAATGACTACTTAAAAATAAATAGACGTCAATAATCTATAGCCGTCCTAATTAGACTATCAAACATTATAAAAAAAATAGACTGTTAAAGTAAGAGGAGTGCATGCGGTGAAGCAATACCAGGTTTGACTGGCCTATATTTTCTCTTGTCATGTCTTTGTCATGTTCAAGTTCTTGCTCCTCTTCCCATTCCTTGATTTTATACATTATATTTCAAACTGTTCATCCATACTTACATCACTATCGTGGAGTTGCAAGAAACAATGAAATAAAGAGAAATAAGGTTGTGTTTTTCCACAATCTCGCAGACAAAAGAATCTCTCCTGTTATTTTCTTGTGGATAGCATGGGCACAATTTAATGATTTATGGCAGACCGTAGCAACTTCCAACAAATTTGGCCGTCAGAATAGAAGGCGGCAAATATGAACTTACACCAACATTGTTCAGTTATGATGATTTATGAGCAGTCAACCAAATCGATGATCAATCCTGTAGTGCTGCTAGGGCATGCCACGGTCTCGATCTGATCAACTAGGTTACTTTTTTTTGGTAGACTTAGGTTACTTTTATTTTTGTAGACTAATTAACTGGGTTACTTGTGATTGTGTGTAGCCAGCAGATTTTGACATGAAAACAAGGCATCCATCCTGGACCGGTTCCAGTTTCAGTTCAGGTAGCAGACAACACAGACGTAACCAAGTAGCAGACAGCACAACGGACAAATCAGATGCTGTGGGTTTTGACTTTGATTAAATTATGATTCAAGTTTATAAAATACAGCAATTAAATGAAAGAGAAAGAGCGTGACTCCAGGAAAAATAATTGGAATCGGTTAGATTGATCTTGAATTCAAAGTACTCAAGAAAGCAACAGTCTCTGAAAATGGCATGGAATTGATCAATCCCATGACCTGAATCAATGTACTTCCATGAGGAATTAATTGATCATCAGACACTGATCATACATCAGTTATGGGTCATGAACAGCTGAATTGGAAACTCAATTTAGCTTTCAATTACGTACATGAAAATTGTTATTACATAGTCATATCGTGCATTCGTCGTCACAGATCAAGATGACAAATCTGCAGTTGAATCCCATCACTAGTTGACGAACTGTGCAAAATTTGACGTGTTAAAAGTCAACTGAGCAAAAGCCCAAAGCAAAACTTTCTCCATTTTTTTTTGTTCTTAATACTACAAAGATACACAAATCTTATGTGTATTCTTAAAAGAAAAACCTTTTTTTTCTGGCAGTGTTTAGGTGACCAACCTGAATCAGTTTGCGCCGTGCGAAGGGATCTACACGTATCCGTTGAGTGAGAGCACCAAGTGGCTAATCCAGGATCAGTAGATCCAAACCTGAAATGTGAACTGGCAATTGCAATTTTGCAAGTCCAGGGTTGAAAAAATAGAGGAATAGGAAAAACACAGGATTCTAATAGGAATTGAAGTGTAAAATAGAGGATTGCAAAACACAGGAATGGTTGTTTGATTGGAGCGTAGGAAAAACGCAGGAATCGGATGAGAGAGATAGACTCAAAAGGAATTTTCCAAGAGGTTAAAGCTCTTGCTATATTTCCTCCAAAATCCGCATACAATGTGTCATTACATAGGAATTTTATAGGATTTGGAAAAATTCAATCCTTTGAATCAAAGGGTCAAGTAGGAAAATTTCCTATAGGATTTGAATCCTATAAAATTTCTAGATAAACCCTTTGATTCAAAGGGGCCCAACATGCCGTAGCACTTTGGTCGCTTTCGTAGTGCAGCTGTGAGCCTGTGAAACAACACGTGTGCAAAATGAAATGTACAGCTGACTGCCGACACGGAACACCTGTCCGAATGACTGTTTTATATTTTTCCGACTGACCACGTACACTTTTCACATAGATTATTTTGTTAATAAAAATGTTTTACATCACCGGTCTTTGTTATACGGCACACAAACAGTGGTATTTTTACTGAATAAAAATTATGTTGTGTGATGGGAAAAATTCTGAAAGAGAGAGAGAGAGAGAGAAAAAAAAGGCCAGCTAAAAAGGCTACGAAGAACCAGTTCAATTATATCGAGTAAGGGCCCATTCTAAACAGAGTTTGAAACTTTGAAATGAGTTTATAAGCCATACGCAAAATAAGAAAAAATATTACTCCATTAGATAATTAATTAAATATATTTACTGTTATAAAATTTAAAGGTTAATATTTTTTTAAAGAAAAATCTTTCCAAAGAAATCTTTATAGAAAGTTTTCTTTTTGAGAAAATATAGTGTTTAATTATTTGGGAAGCGTGTGGTCGTAGTTGCGAGTAAATAGCTCCCCCGTAAGCTCAAACATACTCCCTCCGTCCCATCCCAGAATATAACAACCTAGTACCGGAATGGACTTATCCTAGTACTACTAGTCTATATAGAGGGTATGTGTGCTGTGTGCCTAAGCCTACAAAAAATTTTCACGTTTATAGGACAACGTATAAATATAATCACACATGAGTGCTAACTTTAATTATTCAATAATCAAGTTCTACAAGTATATGCATGAGTATACCCAAGAAACAAGGGTTTTGATTATTAATTCCTCCCCGCCATCCCCTTCTCATATAAATTAAGATGATGTTGTTTATAATAATTTAAATTATATATGGATTGGTTGTTCAAAAGCCGTGGTTTATGAGAAAAGGAAAAAAAAAGGTAATATAGTTAATCATCTAGAGGTAAAACTAAGAAACTAAGGTGACATGACTTTATAAGACAAGAAAAGAAGAAGGAAGATAATTAAGGCGACATGACTTTATAAAAGAAGAAAATGAGGAAGATAATTAGACCATAAATAATTAAGATGATATAGCTCAACGAGAGAAGAGAGAAATGGCATTAACTATATTTAGTGTGATAAGGTAAAAAAAATTGTCTCTGTAGAACCGTAAAACTTTCTCACACAAGTAACATAACGGCTGCATTGGCCGCTGCCACTGTGAAAAGAACGTTGCTACAACGGATGCCTGGTTGCCGAAGTGGGGCGTCAGGCCACAGCCCACAGACCCAACACCTAGATTTCTTTCTATTTGGACTCCCGAACGCGAAAACTTCACAGAATTTTACAGGAATTAGTTCAATTCCTGCAGAATTTCTTCGAAAATCCTCCGCTCGAAGGAGGCCTTGATAGATGAGTGTGTGTATGAGACTTCTCAAAGAACGCCACCATGGGAGTTTGCAGTTTTACACTGCATATAAAAACTCTATGCATTTCCCCTTGTTGGGTATTCATGGAAGAGATGTTCCTGATAGATGGCCGCCTCAAAACTGGAGGTGGCCTCTGAATATATGCTTCAGAAGTTCAGATGGTAGAGTAGAGGCCACAAGGGTCTAGCTATAAGGAGAAGGACAGAGCCGCCTGTTGGAAAATTGGCATGATTAGACATGTTAGAACTCTACAAAAGTAAAATTTCATAACAAGTTGAAAATTTAACAAGTTACCTCCAAGACAGATTCCAAGGATTGGTCATTCCGAGGGGTCTCCTGTGAAGTCGAAGGCCTCATGTGCGATTCTATCATGTTAAGCTGCTCGTACACCTCCTTGAGCATTATGATCTGCTCCTTGTTTTTCCTGGTGTCATTCATCTCAACCATCTTCTCGCTCTGCACCCGCTTCAGCCTTGATCTGGTCCTCTCAGTGCCAGCTCGTGGCGTTGAATTCTTTCCTCGTGGCGTCGAACTCTTATCGGTGATTACATGGACATTCCTGTAGAGGTTGTTCATGGAGCCAACTTTTCTTGTTGCAGATAACTTGGATAGAGCCTGAGGCCGCCGCTCTTTCGGAACGTCCTTGGGAGAAAGTTCTGACTCCTTTGTGATGATTTCATTTGCAGTGCATGAGGATTCTTCTACTCCTTGGCTTCTTTCTTGAATCTTGATTGTGTCAACGATGTCACTTATAGGATGAACTGCAACCTCTTCCGCTTCAATGCCTGAATGTGACTCTTTGGTTTGATCACCATGTGGTGCATCCTCTGCGTTTCTTCCAACCTGTATTTCTCTTTCACTGCATATATCTCTGTGATTACTCGATGTGGAGAACGAGGAACAACTTGATGACTCTTCCAAGGGATGTGATTGTACTTCTTCCTTTCCAATGCCTGAATGTGACTGCTTGAGTTGATCACCATGTCGTGTATCTTCCGCATTTTCCCCAACCTGTATTGCTCTTTCACTGGATGTATCTCTATGATTACTCAACAACGAGGAGGAACAACTTGACTCTTCCAAGAGATGAGGTTGTTGAGAAAGATCACTGCTTGGAGGATTTGGTTCTTCTCCATGTTCTTCTGTGGCATCCCCATCTGTCAGCAAGCTTTTCTGAACCTCTAGAGCCTTGAAGTCACTAGCATTTCCAGAAATATGCTTCAATTCATCTTCACTCAAATTACAAACAAAGCCACCTAATCTGCTCTTTGTTGATTCAACATTTCTGTCGGTGTCCTTTTCGGCAAAAAGTTTCTTCATCTGCAAAGTTGGCAGAGAGAAATTCCTTTTGATGCTACGACAAAGATTCTCCACGGTTTTGCTTTCAAATAATGGTATATTGTTAGTTATCGTCTCGTCTGCAATATCACACTCATCAATACCAACATCCAATAGCTTGTGTTTATACACCAGCAATTGGTTTCTCAGATAAAAATTCTCCAGTTCCTTCTGTTGAAGGACTTCCTGTAGAATCTCCAGTGCTTTGTCACTGTGGCTAATCTTTTCCTCAGCTATCCTCTTGTACTGCCATGCTTCCATCCTCTGCTCCTCCTTCTCCTTCTGAAGCTTTCGAATCATTGACAAGGCTGCACTTGCAGAAGTTGCTGAAGCTTCTCTCTCCTCTTCCAACTCCATGAATAACTTCTTCATCATAATGTACTGTGCGAATATTGCTTTTTGTAACTGAGTATCTTCAGTTTCTGCCATCTTTCTCAAAGGCTCTGATTAGTATATGGTTTACTATTTGCCTTAGAATCTATTAAATTCATCTATTGAACCTGCAATATTTAAAAAAACTTCACTTTATTCTCTGAAGACATGCGAGGATTGGATGAAGCTGAAAAAGGAAAAAAAATTGGAGTTGATTTTGAAGTGTAAAATCAACTCAGCCTAGAATAATACTGTCACAATTCTTCCGCACCATAAAAATAATATTACCGTACATATGATTCCTTTCTAGTAGTTTGGTGATTATGTAATTGTATATGTGATATCATAAATAACACAAATGAGTTTCAGTTTTTGCACCTACTAAAACTTAATCCAGGATGTGTTAATATTTCTATCATAGGGTAAAACTTCCATCCACATTGTACGCACTACGGAAGTCATATCATGTATCCTATAATGCTTAAATTTATGCCCCTAGCCTAAAATGTGTGATCCTGCCATGAAGAATAAGAGAAAGAGATGATATTAATAGCATCGTAGCATGTTACGTGTATATATATATATTCGTATTCAATTTAAAATGTGGAAAATTGAATCTTACATGTTAAAAATTTAAATAAAAATAACTGTTGGCAAGGATGATAACCTCATGATCCACATATTTCCTGACTAACAGGATCATATATATATATTGAGAGTGGAGGACCAAATTAAAACTAGGCAAGACAATATGCTTTTGAAGAAAAAGCACCATTTGGCTGTTCCATGGATTAGCCCATGGTAGCTATGAATAATTTGAAAAGCGTCAATCAAGCGCATTTAGAAAGGCCAAAGAAGAGGAAAGAATATACAAAACAAAGGTGGTACGAAGATGTCGAGAAGATAGCAGATTAACGAAATATGTTTTCTATGGAGGGTTAATGTTTCTATGCTCATAACATAATGCACATTGACTAAATAAAAGCTAATTAGATGCCAAAAGTATTGCAATAAATTGAAAAACTGGAATTCAGTATCTAAAATTGACAGCCGTGCTGAAAAAATATAACGAAGCACTAATGTAAGAGTTCAAATTGACTAAGAATTCTGTTATGATTTTGCTGTCAGGGTTAATACAATAGATCATGCATTCGATTCCCAGAGGTGTTGAGGGATGTTGTGGTGATAATTTATTACTCCACTAGTTGAGCACAAAATTTGACATGACTGGATTAACAATTGGATATAGAAAACAAATTTTGAATAAGCAACGACAAGTTGGAGTACATGAAGCCCAGACAAACTCACCGATATTTGAAACCCCCCAACGATGAGCCAAAGATCCAATTCTCCAATGGTTCTGCCATTCCTTCCTCCCTGCTAGGGAGAAGTGCAGGTAATCAGCTTAGCGTCTATTAATAGGAGAAAACATTGATGACCTCAACTTTAGAGGGAGAAAGACAGGAAGGTGTTCCTTATTTTTGGGATGTGAATTTGGAGTCATCTGAGCTGAGCAAACCTATTTACTCTTCACCAGTCTGCCTGGAATACCAACAAACATGAGGATGGCAGATAAAAAGCCAGAGCAGCATGTCCTGTCGGAAACACGTTAGACCAACATGGTTTTGTACCTCAGTGACTTTTTGGTACTTCCTCCGTTTCACAATGTAAGTCATTCTAGCATTTCAATGTGAGAAATGCTAAAATGACTTATATTATGAAACGGATGGAGTAGTGCTGATCATACTGGCATGTTATTTCAGTCTAGCAAGTTAACATTTAAGCTAACGTCGCCACCTTTGGTTAGCCATATTGACCTAGAGAAATGAATATTGTTGCATTGCCCATTGTACGACGAGATAAAGGGCTTGTTTTTGGATTACTGCCTCTAAACTTGCCATGCAGAAGATTAGTAGCTGGAGAAGCTAGACGTGCATTTGAACTGGGCCTCTGGGGATCAAAAAAAAATGGCAAGAGAACCATGAGCTCAAACAACTTGGCAACAAACCAACCAATCATACTCCACCAAAAAAAATTTAGCATGCCAATATTTTGGTAAGGCATGGATTGACAATGATCCAAGCAAGCCCAAATTGTTCCTGCTCCAATTTGCAGATATCCTCGATGCGAGAGAACAAAGAACATTTTTTTCACTCATAATGGAAGGTACTAGAAAGGATTAATAAGCCATAATATCACAGACGTTTTCAATATGAAAAGATGTTAGGAAAAAATGAAGGGGACCTTACAGGGTAACAGTACCTGAAAGGTCATAGGATGCACGGGTGGTAAAAGTTAATTAAGCCTGAAAATGATCAAATACAGATGTTTCACTAATTACAGCTTAATACATGATAAAAAAAGTACTAGTAGGGTCTAATTAATCCATCTTCTCAAGCTGACATACATGCCGGGGCACAGAACAATGACACAAGTACTTAGTCAATAGGAACTTCAACCTCCATCTTCACATCAGAATTGTCAAGAATCTGGAAACAAAAACAAGTTTCGTGAGTACAAAAGGTGAAAATTTTTAGCTACAATCAAGTAAATACGAAGATCTGCTGATTGCAATAATCAAAACCATTCATTTCTTAATGAAAAAATGATCACATGCTAATGCTACATTATTTAACAAAATAACATGGTATGGAAAGTATAGGTCAAAATAGATATTTCAAAGCTAAATGCCATAAAACCAAGTGAATGGGATGCTCGATTTAGAACAAATAAGGAGATGATGACAACTAGATTTTAATTTAGTGATATCAGCTTATTCAAAATTAAACCTGTCAAATACAGACAAGATATTTTCCTTCTAGAACATCTATCTGATTCACCAAGCATAATGTGTATGCTCCTGATACTAGTGCAGAAAATATTTATCTGTTAAGGTTAAAGAGATCTAAGGGAATAAAGTAGTAGATTGGAGCTTACCTTCATAAAGTCTGGCAGAGTAAAATTTGAATCTTTTGTATAGCCAGCTTCTTCTAAAACATGGATCAAAACTTTCTGAAATGCATAAGTGGCATACATCAGTATAGCAGAAAAGGACTACAGTATACTTTACCATAAAAAAATGATGTTATTTTATTACGAAGTAAACCAAGATGTATATTAACCTATTATGCTGGTCCGGCAGAAGCACGGACCAGACGGAATCCTACTTACAAGGAAAAAAAATATTCTGTAGAGTGCTCTACCAAAAATACATTACTATTACGCTTTAGTTAAATTGACTCGAAGGTAGAATTCGCTATTGATTCCAAAAATTATCCCAGCCAGCAAGGCCTAGAATGTGATCATGGAACAAAAAAAAAGTAGTCCTCCGCATTTAGAGTCGATCAACAGTTATGACCAATTGACCACTTGACTACCAGCTCAGAGCAACATGTGAGGTACCAATTTTAGCAGCATTGTAGTTGCAACAACATGAGCAATCAACAAATTACAATTACTTGCAACTACACAAGCTTTTATGGACATAAATGAACATGGATATGTTAGCACATATGATATGGCACCAAAGATCTTAAGCACAAACCTGCCTCTGCTGCTCAGTCATAAAAGAACCAGACAGATCCCGCAAGATGCTCAAGATATCATCAAATGCCACCTTCCCATTGCAGTCAGTGTCATAAACCCTGAAAATAACTACAGAGAAAACATAGCATATTTCTCAGAACATCTAGACATCCGGGACAGAAAGCAAATGGAGAATTTAAGTACGAACTGGGAACCCACATTCAATTTTTTGCTGCAGGCTTGCGCGGGGACTAAACGCCGATAAGAACGCCACGAACTCCTTAAAGTTCAGCCCATCGAGCATCCTCAGAAGCCTCTGACAGAGACATCGCATCGATTAACAAATAGCATTCCTCAAACATCTACCCAATCACCCAATTCATTCCTTTCCTAATCCCTCGTTCTCAATACAGAATAAGAAAAGGTATTGAGGAACAGGCTAGTTATGTCTTGTAACCTGAGAGAGAGGGTTCACGGCGAACTCGGGGACGGTCATGAATTCCTCGGCGGAGACGAATCCGCCCCCATTCCGGTCGAGCTGGCAGAACCGGTGGTACAGCGACACGATCTCCTGCTGCGAGACTTAGCTCCCAAAACACCCCGAATCAGCAGGTCAGATCGGAGGGGAACAGCGGCAGACAGCATCAATCTTCGTTGAGAGTTCAGAATCCAATCGAAAGAGAGAAACACAAGCGCGCAAACTCACAGGCGTGGTCGCAGTGGTCCTGGACCTCCTCGATGTCGTACTGCGTCAGCATCGACGAGGTGCTCCCCATCTCGGCGGAGGAGACGGGGATCCCGGTCGGCCAAAATTCGGATCCGGGCGGGGATCCTCCCGGAATCGAAGTCCAATCTGGATGTTCAACCACGATTCCGCATCAACACACGATGCTAGGGATCACGATTCGACGTCGGCTAGAGCAGACGAGGAAATCGAGAGGGAGGCAGAGCGCGATGCGTCGAGCTGAGGGGTGCTTACCCTTCAGGCGGATTCCTCTGCAGGCGATGCTTGGTCCCCTCGAATCCGGAGCTCCGCCGCCGCCGCCGCTTGCTGCCGCCGACGAGAGGAAGGGAGAGGCGGAGGCGAATCCGGCGATGGATGTGTGGGGCAGTGTGGGGGATGAACGAGGACAGATGCAAAAATGGCCCGTTTCTCTTTTCTCTCTTCCGGCCCGGCCTGGCCCAGCAATCCGGCCCGCGGGAGTGCGCCAAAGCCCAGCCCAGCTCACCACCCTGTCAGCTCGTTCTTCCTCCTCCGGCCGGGAGTTCGCAGTGCCCACGACGCCGCGTCCTCAACCAAATCCGGTCTTGTCGTCTACGATCTTTTTCGAATCAAACGATCTCATCCGAGAAACAGTATAAACTTCGCCGCCGCTACCGTGTCGAGCTATGTCTCCTCATCCTCGCTATGTTTCAAAAGACAGGGATAAACCTCGTCGCTGCAGGCGTGTCGAGCACTGTCTCCTCTTCCTCTTCATCCGCACAGCTTCAAAAAAAAAAAAAAAAAAAAACAGAGATAAACCTCGCCGCCGCAGGCGTGTCGAGCTCTGTCTCCTCGTCTTCATCCGCCGCTTCAAAAACCAGAGATAAACCTCGCCGCCGCTGGCGTGTCGAGCTCTGTCTCCAACTCCTCGCCATGTCGTGTCGGCTGCTGTCTCTTCCTCTTCTCCAAATAAATAGCGTCCCGATGGCCTCCTCGATCTGTGTAACTTAGTCCCTCGAAGTAGTCGCTTCTTCTTCTCGTAGCCTCTTCAGATCGATCGCTTCGTCGTCATGGCTAGTTTCTCGACGGTTTTCCTGCTCCTCAGCCTTGTCTGCCTAGCTTCGCCGTGCGCCGCGCAGCGCGTGATCTGCGAAGCCCCACCGTGCACCACCGCGTCGCAGGTGAAGACAACCCCGACAAATCGCGCCTCCCACGTCCGCCTCCCCGAAGGCGTCACCGGCGCCGAGAGCCTCGCCTTCGACTCCAGCAACCGTGGCCCCTTCACCGGCGTCTCCGATGGCCGCGTCCTCAAGTGGGGCGGCGACTCCGCCGGCTGGACTACCTTCGCGTACAACCGGAATTACCGGTACGTACGTGCATGTATAGAATTTTGACTTGTATGTTTGCATGGTGTGTGATATTATTATGTACTATATATCTTATCAAATTTTTTAAAATTTTTATATAACTATTTAAATTACATGTATATACCCAGGTGCCATGAGACCTAGGTGTAGAAAATACTTTCTTACGTATAGATTGGTTGACGAGACTAACATGTATATATCCGTGCAGGAGCAACCCTACGTGCGCGTCGTCATCTGAGGAGACGGAGAGCACATGCGGGCGTCCGCTGGGTCTTGCGTTCCACCTCAAGACGGGGATCCTCTACTTCGCCGACGCCTACAAGGGCCTGATGCGGGTTGGGCCGCGGGGTGGCCAGGCCGACGTGCTCGCCACGGAGGCCGACGGCGTGCCGTTCAATTACCTCAACGGCGTCGACGTCGACCAGGACACCGGTGACGTCTACTTCACCGACAGCAGCACCACCATCACACGCCGGTACGTATACACAGATCGAGAACAATCCAAATTAATTTACTTTCAAATTTGCATTATGCATGCAATGCGTTGTTGATCATCAGCATTAACAGGAGATGAGTTGTGTGCATGCAGATACCAAGAGAACATCATGAGGAACCGCGACGCGACGGCTCGGCTGATGAAGTACGACGCGAAGACGAAGCAGGTGACGGTGCTGAAGGACCGGTTGCCGTACGCCAACGGCGTGGCCGTCAGCCACGACGGGAGGTACCTCGTGGTGGCGCACACGGGGCCGGCACAGGTGTTCAGGTATTGGCTCAAGGGGGCCAAGGCCGGCCAGTACGAGCTCTTCGCCGACCTGCCCGGGTACCCCGACAACGTCCGGCGAGACGCCAAGGGGGGCTACTGGGTGGGGCTCAACCGGGAGAAGATTACGTTCAACGTGCCGGCGGCGGCTTCTCCGGCCAAGCACCTGGTCGGCGTCCGGCTCAACGGCGACGGCGTCGAGGTGGAGGAGCTGACGGCTGCTAGTAGGGCTGTGACGCTGAGCGAGGTTGTGGAGAGGGACCGCAAGTTGTGGCTCGGCTCCGTCGATCTCGACTACGTCGGCCTACTGCAGTAGAAAGAAGTTATCTGTTTAGTGGTGTTAGGAATAATAAAGGCAGGCTAATTAGGTATTTAGCAGTAGAATCAGGATTGGTACAACTCTTTTTTGCTGGCAGCTATATTAATTAGACGTTTTAGTAGTCTTTTTTCAGTGTGTGCTTGATATACACACCTTGATATATAATCTCTCTCCGTTTCGTTTTTGTTTGACGCCGGTTAGTTCGAAATTGCACTAATCAACGTCATTTATTTGGAAACAAAGGTAGAATAATATAATTTAGTTTTGTATACCAGTGTGCAATCAAATACCCTTACAAGCTACTCCCTCTGTTTCAAATTATATGATTAAGTTTAACTAAGTTTATAAACACATAAATTAATATTTATAACATCAAATTAGTTTTATTAAAACAACAAGTTGAATATATTTATCATGTGTTGAAAACATTTTTAAACAAACTTATCAAATTTGAAACAGTTTAACTTTAATCAAAGTCAAAACGGTTCATAATCTCAAACGGAGGGAGGTATAATCGTTTTAGTCACCGGTGGCTGTGGTCAATTATACCGCGCTAAATAAAACTAATCCTACCATCATCGCCTACGAACAACGGAGGGAAAGCAACACCGCGCAACTACAAATTGAAGTTGATAGCCCACCGCCCTCCCTCCTTAATGACTGGATCTGACCTAATCCCGCGTGCAACGGAGCGAGCTACCGATAGCTAGCTAGCTCGCTAGGCGACCGGACAAAATTTAACCGGGTGGTCCAGCGCGCGTGCGCGTCACGATGAACACACACGTACGTAGCTAGGCCTCCCCTGGCTAACACACACGCGCGGGTCACCTCGCTCGCGTGACCGTACGTGCATGCTGCATGCATGGCCGCGCGCACACCGGAGTACCGGACGCGATGGCGACGCGCCGACGTCGACGCAGCCGGCCGAGGAGGTCAATACGCGCGCATGCGGCCGCGCCTACGTACCCAATCAACCATGCTTGTTTTGTTATAGCTTGCACAGGGGTTGATCAACTCCCGTACGTGCAGTACCGACCGGTGGACCGTGTTCTTGCATCCATGTCATTATGTCACGCGGCACATGCTTACGGGGGCCCGTGATACAATGAATGGCCGGCTAGCTAAGGCACCCCCGACACTACACATATACTGATGACCAGTTCTATGATGCTCGATCCAAGCTCGCAAACAGTTCTGCCCATATATGATAAGATGGCCAGACATGCATGCCACACTTATTTATTCATGCACGTCACCACACACGTGCCATGCATCGTTGCTAGTTATAAATGTTTTTCGTCGTTGCTAATTATAAATGTTTTTTGAAAGAGGGATTTAGAGCAAGTTTAATGGCTCTATGCCAACTATAAGAGTATAATAAGAACAATAGCAGGTTACAAGTTAGCTATAAACACATCTAAAATAAGAGAGGAGAGAGAAGAATAGTTGTATTTAGATTTATAGCTAGTTGTAGCACAGGCTCTACAATATTATGTGTGTAGGCAAGGTGGGTTAAGTATTAACGGTGTAATGCATATTTATATAAACTATTGTATGGATAGGCTAATAGAGTTGTTGTAGATGACGTGTTAATTTTATAGCTAGAAATTGGCTATACTATTAAACTTATTTTAAGCACATGTGGAGAATAGAGACAACGAAAAACAAGAAATGTTTCACATACAAGAGCAAATGCATTGAATACAGAAGTGAGAGAAAAAGTGAGCAAAAAATCATGAGCTGGCTCTTGTCAAGCTTGTTAACGTATTTATATCACCTTTATAATTAGTAATTTATTTGTTTACAACATATAAACTTAATAATAAACACTAGTGAAGAATTCACAAAATACAAATAGTTTTGATGTAACTAATGGACTAGTCACTACTCGCTAGTTAAGAAACACTAAGTATATATGAAGATGTGGTGATCTTTTGTAGTAATGAGCAACTCACAAGCTAGTTCATTAAGCTCAAGAGTTAAATTTCTAGCTTGGCTCAACTCATTAAGACCATGGGTTTGAGTCAATCAGAGTCGAGCTCAGTAGCTCACCATGAGCCAATCCAAACCACGAGCTTCGAGCTTTTTTCCACATCTACATCAAGGTACTTAAGCCCTGTTTAGATCCCACTCTAAATTTTTTTTACCATATCACATCGAACATTTGAACACCTACATGAAGTATTAAATATAAGCTAAAAAATAACTAATTACACATATTGAGACTAATTTGCGAGACGAATCTTTTAAGCCTAATTGTTCCATGATTTGACAATATGGTGCTATAGTAAACATTTGCTAATGATGGATTTATCAGGCTTAATAAATTCGTCTCGTGGTTTACTGACGGATTCTGTAATTAGTTTTTTTTATTAGTGCCTGAACACCCAATGCAACACCCTATATAATACCCGATGTGACACGTCAAAACTTTACACCCCTAGATCTAAACACCCCCTTACAAACTAAGGGCATGTTTGGATGAGCGATGTTCCGGTGCTCTCTACTGGTAATATTATACTACCAGTAGAAATGATCTGAACCATTCATTATTAAGGGTAAATTAGTAATTTACTAATATAGTGATTAGAGGTAACTATCATTTATGTTTTTATGGGTCTATATCTATATCAATATGTGGTAATCGATTCCGCTGGCATCGTTCAATCGAAAAAGCCAAAAAGGAGAAAAAAAAGGATTTAGTCACTGTCACCCGTATATTTTTTTTTTGACAATAATGTTCCTCCACATCTCTACTATCACTAAATGGGGTGGTGGTACAAACAGATTTAAACCCCTCGGCCAAATAAGATCAACGGTTCAAATTGCTTTATACTACTAGTAAAGAGCACCGTAATGTGGCTTACCAATTTTTTGGTAGCTTCAAATAGTACTTTAATAGTATTTTGATTAAGATCAAATTTTGCCTAACTAATAGAAAAATCTACCCTACTTATAGTGTTTGGACTTATTTAGATTTGGATATTATCAATATTTTGATAGGGCTTCAGATCAAATCAGCCATAACTAAGGCTATTCCCAACCCAATGACTATGATGGTGTCTATAGCATTAAATAAGCTGTCACATAAGATAAAAAATGATGTGGCAAGTGAATAAATGAGGAAAGAGAAGGAAACCATGTCTTGCATGAGACACTGTTTCTATACAACATCCAAGGCATCATGTGGGATAAGTAGCATTAAATTTAAGTGTGGAATAGTGGTGTTTGCATTAGAAAAATATTGTCTAGTACTAGTTTCTTAATAATGTGAAGTTTATTTAAACTATGTCTAGTGTCTTGGATTAGAAATGGCCTAAAACAACCATACGTGCCTTTGCATTGCAGCTCAACCTCCCTCCCATGTACCGTACGCATTGCAGCCAGAGACCACCAACACCAAAAGCCAGCGCTGCGGCGACCAGCAACTTCACGTAGGCGTAGTAGCGAGCGACCCGCGCGGGGCCCACGTGCCATGTGCACGGGAGGACGACGGGCCCGCTCACGCGGCACGTAAATGCGCCTCCGTCCAAAGCGTTGGTGGGCTTTCGTGGCGGTTGCCCGATCGAGTGGGACGTCGTCGCTACAGTCCACGGGACACGACGGGACCAGGGCGGCATGTGCAAGGGCGTGGCTGTAGCACGCAGCAATGCAGCATCGATGACGCCGCGAAATCAGAGCTGAAACGAATTCTCGAGGGTCTCGATCGGCCGAGGACACAACAACAAGGTGGTGGTACAAGGAACTGTAGAAGCAGATGACTTGAGAAGTCAATACTGTACGAATTGTGGGATCCGTATGTTTCCTCTCCCATGGTACCCTCCATAGTCAAAATTTGATCGTAAAATTTATGGTGTTTAAATGTTCTGAAGATAAAGATAAAGATGAAGATTAAGTGTTTCACGTAAAACGAGGTTGTAATAACATATGATTAATTGAATTTTAATTATTTCAAACTTAAAAAATAGATTAATATGATATTTTAGAACAACTTTCATATAGAAAGTTTTTGCACGAAACGCACCGTTTAGCAATTTGAAAAACGTGTCACGAGTATCCAAAGTTTAATCCAACTTTTGTTGGAGAACAGAACAGGGTCTAACTTCAAAGTTGATTTCAATTTTTAAGACTATTATTTATTTTCCAGCATTGGTTTTTATAAGCCCATAATTTTGAAACGAAGCTTTTAAACCTAGAATAACACGGATAAAAAAACCCTTTGTTACCCATTGCTTTCTTTATTTTTCCATGGCTTATTGTGCAAATAGTACCTACTTAGGGCATATTTGGATAAGCTTCTAACTGCTGCAGCTTCTCCCAGAATCAAAAGCTCCCTAATCAGTCTAGTTTTTGGTCCAAATTCTGAGAAGCTGTAGTTGTAGAATCCAGAAAATAAATTAGAAGTCAGAAGTAGGGAAACCCATCTTTTCCATATTCTCAGAAGCTGACTTCTAACCAGCTGCTTCTCAAAATCTTAAGGTCTCCAAACAGACCCTTACAATGCTAGCAGTAGGGTTAAGGGTGTGTTCGGGAGGAGGGGTTGGAAACCTTTACCCTGTACATATAAAACAGGTGGCTCAATTGACTCATAATTAATTAAGTATTAACTTAAAAAAATGAAAAAATTAGATTAATATGATTTTCTAAGCAGCTTTCGTATAGATTTTTTTTTAAAAAAAACACACACCATTTAATAGTTCAGAAAATATTTTGCACATGAAGAACGGAGAAAGTAAAAAGTTAGTAAATGAAAGTAAACACACCCAAGTTTAGGCCCTGTTTAGTTCACACCAAACTACCCCAAACTCTCAACTTTTCATTACATCACATCACATCCAAAACTTTTCTACTCACAAAAACTCCCAACTTTTTTTTTCCAAATTACCAACTTTCCCCAAACTTCCTCCCAATTTTAGTAACTAAACACAACCTTAGCTAAGTTACGTTAAGAAACAACTCTCCATAATGCAGTGGTGCTGGTACACTGGTACGTACCTATGCTATTGGTAGATTTTTTTTTCTTTTTTTAAAAACAAAATGTTTGGTGAACATTTACCTCTCTTTTAGTATGGGTGAGGAAGACATTCTCTCGGATGTAGAAGACATTCATCTCTTTAAATGTTGGTGATGGTGATAGTGATTCTCCCAGTTACTCACCACACTGCTATGTAAGATCTCAAACAATTGATGGACCATATGTCAAGTTAATCACTAAATAATATGATTGATATAAGTATAACATCTTTATTAGACGATGAGAAATGGTTATTATGAAACGTGTCAAAATTAATCTCTAACACTCGACTAATGCAAATATTATTTCGTCATTAGAAAGGCTGCGTTTGAGCGAGGGACAAAGAGAGATGATTCATCTCGTTGTCCATGCAAATGTTTCCCGATCTATTAAACTGTATATTTTTTTAAAAAATTATAAAGAATGTTTTAAAAAACATATTAATTTATCTTTAAGTTTAAAATAATTCATATTTAATTAATCATACGCTAATGACTCATCTCGTTTTACGTATCTAGTTCTTTCTCCTCCTCTCGAAACACTCCTAAGAAATGGTCTTAGGGTGAGTTTGCATGTACTAATTTCCTAATTTCCACTCTCTGTTTATTGCGTGTACACTTCTCAAACTTCTAAAACAGTAAGTTTTTTAAAAAATATACTATAGGAAAGTTATTATAAAAACATATTAATTTATTTTTAAGTTTTTTTTAACTAATGTATAATTAATTATGTGTTAATCCACCGCTTCATTTTATGTGTATTCTGTAGAGATTTAGTTCCTAATCCATAATAACCAACACAACTTAAGAAACTATCATGAGATCTCTTTACAAAACTTTATTGCAATGCACGAGTATTTAGCTAGGACATAGAAAAAGAGTTCACAGTTCACTGTCATGAACACGTTAGCTCACACGATACAAGTTCAGTGAGGTCAATAGAATCATCACTCGAAAAAAAAAAGAATCATCTCTGTTTGAAAATCGTTAAATTTCGTCCTCGCGATATGCCGATATAAAACCAAAGGTAAAAAGGGCATGTAGCCTAGTAATTGCAGTGACATGAGTAGCGGCTCAAGGTTATGAGTTCAAATATCCATAGAAGTGAATTTTAGATTAGGTCCTGAGTTCAAATCTCCATATGAACGAATTTCAGATTGAGTTGTTTGCGGGGCTAAGTTTCCGATTAAAATGGCTGCCTATAGAATTTCAGATTGGGCCTTGAGCTTAAACCTCCATATGAGCAAATTTCGTATTGAGTTGTTTGCGGGGCTAAGTTTTCAATTTAAATGGCTGCATATATTCGGTTGAATGTAGAGGTTGGGTAAAAAAAAATCCTTCTCAAAATTAAAAAAACAAACAAAAAAAAGCCCTGATAAAACCATCATGAACTTAGGGCATGTTTAGATCCCTCGCAAAATTTTACACCCTGCCACATCGAATGTTTGAACACGTGCATGGAGTATTAAATATATGAAAAAAACTAATTACACAGATTGTGTGTAAATTGCGAGACGAATCTTTTAAGTCTAATTGCTCCATGATCTGATAATATAGTGCTACAGTAAATATTTGCTAATGACGGATTAATTAGGCTTAATAAATTCGTCTCGTAATTTACAGACGGAATCTGTAAGTTGTTTTGTTATTAGTCTATGTTTAATACTTCAAATGTATGCCGGCATATTCGCCGTGACACGCTAAAACTTTACACGCATTTATCTAAACACAACCCTAATACGATTTCTCTTTTTCTCCACGGCCCCACCACCACCCTCAGTAGTAACCGTGCGGCGCGTTCCTCCCTCTACCACGCCACCTCCTTCCTCTGCACGCGAGAAAATCTGCAGGAGTTCGCCGCACGGCAACAGCTCGGGATCCCATCGCCGCCACTAACCTCCGATCCCTCGCGCGCGGCGAGGAGGCCGACGAGGCGGCGGCGGCGGCGGCGACCCGCCGGTCCGGCAACGGAGGGGGCTCCTCGCGCCGCGATCCCCGATCGAGCCGAGGTGAGTTCAACTTGCAGCTTAGTAGCATACTGCTCCACTGCTCGTGCGTCCTGTTCGTTGCTTCGCCTCCTCTGATCGGATTGGGTTCGTGCGTGAAGCTGCATTCTCCCAGCGTTTCCTAAATCCTAATCCCCTCATCCTTAAACCCCCAAATGCTTTAGGGATTCGTGAAATTTTTTGGGGGCATTGGAGAAATTTGTTTCCATCTGTTTCCGTTTGTAGCATTCTTCACCACATTCGAGATTCCAAACGGCTTTCAATTTTTTTTTCTCGTTTCAAAGATTCCGCAATCGCTCTCGTCAATTTGAAACAGTTCCGAGTAATCGGGAAAACCCCGTTCATTATTTATTTATTACTATTCGAAACGTTTCGAAACGGAGATTTTTTTTTTTGGCAAAATTGGTTATATAGCATCGAAAGTTTACGTTTTTGGTTTTGTAGCACCGAAAGTTACCGGTTCACTTTAATAGCACCTAAAGTTCACCATGTTTCTATTTTTAACACTTCCGTCAATTCTCGATCGTTTTCCGTCCGTCTTGATCCAGCCACACACACGATATGACGTTTCTACCCCTCACAAGTACAAGTATAATGCATGTCAATGAGGGGTAGAAATATAATATCATGTGTGTGGCTGGATCAATAATGATAAAGACGGACGGAAAAATTAACGGAAGTGCTAAAAATGGGAACAGGGTGAACTTTGGATGCTATTAAAGTGAACCGGTAACTTTCGGTGCTATAAAACTAAAAAGTGAACTTTCGATGCTATATAACCAATTTTGCCTTTTTTTTTTGTGGGGGTAGTGGACGATTCGAGTTGGCCCAGCCGCTTCGCGTTCGTGCTCCTGCGTGCGTGCGCTGTCGTCGCGATCCAGACGTACAGTGAGCTTTGAAAAGGGTGAGCCCTTTGCGCCGAAGCTAAGCGTCCCTTTCCGTGCGATTGGGCTCCGATTCGCTGTACATCGTGAGCACGGATAGGCCCTTCAATTTGGGTCTTATATACGCCATCGAGCTAGATTTATTTCCTTCTCGTTTTCTTGCCACATTTGATCGCGAAGCCGGTTTGGAGAATTTTGGAGATTCTGCTCATGTTTTCCAGTGAGTGAAATGTGACTGTTGCATCGGCTGGTGCCATGTGAATAGGTATCTGGTAGATTTGGATTTTGTTTTCTTGCCTGCATCGAACAGTACAAAAATCTTACGATGCATTGCAAGTTTGTAGTTCTGGTCTTCTGGAATGGTGAGGTGTTAACTCTTAAAGAGTAATTTACTCTTCGAAGAATGATCCCATTCCCATAATGTTTGTTTCCGATGAAGAAAACAAGTAGTGAAAGCAGTAGAATAAACTTTCTAGAATCTAGATACAAAGATCCATGTTGCGTGGACGCATGTGTCCCTGTCGGCTCCAACAACTTCAGGGGAAAAAAAAGGTGAACCTAATTCTCTCCTCGTCCTTGGTCGAACTCATCCATGTAACTAGTACCATGTAGCAGCAGCAATTCGCATTTCACATCAAGAGGCCATGTTGGATTAATTTGCAGATTTGCAGTTACTGCACTGTTGCAATCCTGTACTAGGCCCCAACCAAGCAAACACGGGAGCTTTCCTTTTCTTCCTTGGGGCACTTTACGCCCACACGACGAGAGGGACCGGGTGGGCAGTAGCAACAAATTGGACAATCCTTTGCATGTAAATGGCCGTGACACTAGGTTGTCGTCATCCATCGTTGTGAATAATGTGCAATCGTCCATGCTGTTTGGTTGCCTGCATTTGCCGTTCTTTGACGTGGTGGCCTGGTGGGGGAGGGGAGAGGCGGAGAGCCTTCATGTTTGTTTGTTTGTGTTATTGTGTCAGAAGGTTAATGCACGCATGCATGTTTGGATTTTTGTATCAGTTTATCCTGGTGGTTGGCGTCGTCTTTTGGTAGATCTCTCTGGTGATATTGCCTGCTGAGGAGAGTGGTGGGTAGCTTTGGTGATAGCTGGCCAGTACATCAATGTGGGCGTTTCTTGGAGCAGCTACTCGACTCCATGGATGCCGTGAAGACAGAGGGGAGGAAGGCCGCAGGTACCGTCGACTGCGCCTTGCGGCAGCCGCTGGTGCCACCGGAGAAGAACATTGCTGCTCCGGCAGGTCGGAGGAGGGAGGTGGCCTCCAGGTTCAAGTCCGGCGGCACGCCGGCGCCACAGGCTGCTGCTTCCTCGGTGAGGCGATGCACGTCTCCAAGTCTGAGCAGGGCTTCAGCAGCTGAAGGCACAGCATCGACAAACAGAGCACAGTCAGCTGAGAGGAGGAGGTCTTCCACGCCTTCTTCCAGCTCGACGCCGTCCGGTGGTGGTGGCGGCGCTGCGTCGAGGCCCAGGACGCCGGTGCGTGTTGCGGCAGCCACCGAGGTACATGGCATCTCTCGTCGTGCAGCCAGTACAAAGCCCCCTGATGGCTTGTGGGCATCAGCTCGTAGCGTGCCTCCATTGCTTCAGAAGGAGTCCATGGCAATGGCAACCTCTGCCAAGAAGAGACACAAGCTTGCTGATGGCTCATCTTCTGACCAGACCAAGGTGCAGGCAAGAAACGTGACCGAGACTGAGAGGAAAAGAAGTCCTCTTAGAGGGAGGAACATTGGCAACCAATGTGAGAATGCTCGGCCATCAGAGACTCCAAACAAGAGGGTCGTTGAGCAACACCGATGGCCGGCGGCAATGATGGGTGGCCGTGGCTCTGCCGTCTTAACTTCGAGAAGCAATGGTGTTGCCAACACGCCTATCAGGTCAGTCACTCCATCAAACCCTACAAGGGGGCTTTCACCAAGGAGGATTTGTCCAGCTGAAGTCAAAGCCAATGGTCTGAATCAGCCATTGAACGGATTGGCAAAGAGATTGGCTACACATGAGAGCAGAAGAGAGGATAAGACAGAATCTGGTAGTGATGTTTCTTCACAGACATCAGAAAACTCTAAAGCTGCTACTCGCCCGAGCAGGACTCTGTCTTCACCTGTTCTACATCGCTCGTCGTCACCAAACAAGGTCTTGTCAGCTGCATCCCCTGCTTCTACAGCCTTTCAAAGTCCTTTGAGGACAAGGCCTTCGGCACCTTGCCGATCACGATGTTGTTCAACAAGTCAATCAGGCGTTGCACCTCTTGTGTTTAACTATATAGTTGATGCGAGGAAAGGGAAGAAGAGTGCAAGCCAGTTTGAGAATATTCACCAATTACGTCTGCTGTATAATAGATGCCTGCAGTGGCAGTTTGTAAATGCTCGTTCAGAAGATACACTAACCTTCCAAAAGAGTAGCATAGAGGTATGCTATATTGGTTTTGCTCCTGTCTGTTCTCTAATTGCTTTGCTCAAGTTTGTGCCTGATGAAGCCATTGTTTCTTAGTGGGTGCATTCTCTTTATTATTATTTTTTTCATTGGGCAAGCAATGTTCAACTAATATAGTATTTCTCTCCTCCCATGTAAAACAGAGTATTCTTTACAGTGTGTGGAAAAGTATCGTGCAGCTGCGGGATTCTGTTACAGTCAGAAGAATTGATGTTCAACTCCTGCAACAAGAGCTCAAACTGTACTACGTTTTAAAAGAGCAGGTACTTGGTTGAAATTTTCCTCTAAATATGCTTCCTTTAAATTTGATTCGAAGTCATTCAAAATTTGAAAAAAAATGTGGTTTTTAAATATGGGGCTGAAAATAACAAAAAAAAAGTTGGTGATTGGGTAATACCGTCCCTCTGGAAAAATCTTCTTCTGATTTGGCTGACATTTTTTCAAATTCAGGGAAGAAGTACTGTCAATTTTAATCTTTCAGTGATTTTTTTTGGTAATTGTGCCCCCTGATTTTTTTTTTCGAAATTTATTGAATTCATTGAAAAATTTCAGATTTTGATTAAAGTACGGTTATTTGGTGATTTGGGGTGTTTAGCCCATTTCAATTTTTTTATATCTAAAAAAAATCCTTGGTGGGTTACTTCTCGCCATATTGTTGTGATTCAGATTGCTTATCTTCAACATTGGCCGAAACTAGAAGGAGAGAACGGTAGTACTTTGATTGGGGCTATTGAAGCTTTACAAGCATGCACACTTCGCCTTCCAGTTACATCAGGAGCACAGGTACGTGATCAAGCCATCATTGCTTAATGTCAAATGATCTTGGATTTGTAGTTACACTTATCTTGTTCCTTTTTTGATCGAATACTCTTATCTTGGTTTGTCTGGTATGCTGACAATACCGTTATTTAACAGGCAGATGCTGTTGCAGTTAAGAATTCTATAAGCTCAGCGGTTGATGTTATGCAAGCTTTGAGTTCCTCAATTTTGTACCTCCTATCAAAGGTTAGATATAAACGTACCATATATTTTTCTTTTTCAAAAAAAGAGGAGCAGCTCAGGTTCTAACATTCAATTTTTTTTTTCAGAATATTGTTTGATAAACTAAAACTTTTAAAATTAGTACATACTCTAATTTGCCCGCAATTTATTAGGATACAATGTCTTTGTTGCTTTTAGTAACATTAATTAGGATATGTGTACCAGGTTGAAGGTAGGACGTCTTTGGTTTCTGAACTTTCAGACATGGCAAGGCAAGAAAAGGTTGCCCTTGGTGAGTGTAGAGAGCTCTTAGCTACGGCAGCAAAACTACAGGTATTTATGAATCTCTGTCTGAACTTTCGAAAGAACATTCCACTTTAAAACCCCCATTAGTAGGGTGGACAATAAACTCAGGCTCAAGCTTGGTTCATGCTCGCATAGCTCGGCTCGAAAGCCAAACAAGCCAAGCCCAAGCTCCTTCCTAGCTCATTTTTGAAATGAGCCAAGCCTAAGCTGGCTCACGAGCCGCTCACAAGCTCATTTGGCTCAGTACAATAGGGTCATATACAATAATTTTGTACCTTTTCTAGCTATTTATTTGTTGAAAATGGTAAAATTGATTGTCATATTGTCTATTTATGTGTTGGGATGACATATTGAAGAAACCTATCACTTTATTGCACATTCTATGTGTTAAAATGTTGCTTGATTTCTCCTAGACCTGCTTGAGCCCATTAACGAGCTGAGCAGAGCCTTAGTTTTAGCTCGTTGCTCGTAGCGAGCCGAGCCAAACCGAGCTTCCCTTGCACAAAGCTTTCATGAGCCGAGCCATTTGCACTCCTAACCATTAGTTCTCCACAGTAGCTACCCACCTTTGGAAAACTAGTTGTTGGTTACTCGACTTGTTTTCTGCATTAATCCAACCACTTTAGTTGGTCAACCTGCCAGAAACAGTCTGCAGACACAGCCAGAGGGCAGCATAGATATCCACAATCCCTGTAGCATGTCCTGCAAGAGTTGCATGCCTTGTCTGATTTGGATTTATTTGATGGGATGAACATCTGGTTCTTATCTGATTGGAAACTGACAATTTCTAGTAGGCATCAGTAGCCATAGTTCTGGCCATTTGCAGAAATACTTTGTCCTTGCATACACCCCAGACTTCATTTGTACAACATGATCTGCCTTACTTAACTGTGCAATGTACTAACATCAATTCAATCTTTGCATGGTGTTGATTCAGGTACAGGAGTCCAGCCTCCGTACTCATCTGATGCAACTGAAGGAAGGAGTTTTAGGATGACTTTGATAATCCAAGTTGAAGAAACCAGTCATGCTTTCAATATGTACAGGCACGGTGTAAAAATGGAGCGTACATACAAAATCCTGGAGTAACATCCCCTGGGGACAATGCATAGCGGCGATGCTGTGCAGGCTGCAGTTAACATCTCACAGTGCGTAAAGAATTTGAAGAAGAAACAGGTGTCTTTGAACCTAAGAATACTTCTAACTTGGGTGTTAGGGGTGTATGCCAACACCTCTCACCGAGTGAATTAGGCTCACTTCCTTGCCAAGTGAGTTAAGACCCACTTCCTTACTTCCTCCGTCCCAAAAAAAAGTCAACCTAGGTACAGATGTAACATTACATAGTACAACAACTTTGGATATGAGCGTGTCTAAATTCGTTGTATTATGTAATGTCATATCCGTGTCTAGGTTGGCTTTTTTTTGGACGGAGGGAGTACGTCTTATTGTGTTTAGGGAAGATAGGAGATGCTTGATTCAAGTGTAAATGTTTTTTCGCCGTACAGTGCACTCAAATTGCCTCCACTCCTAGTTTTGGTGTTCCTCTCATGAGTCATGACGAGAGCTGCCCTCTTTACCTATTCTCATTGTATAGTATTTTGCTTGTTAACAAACCGATTGGAAAGGAAATAGAGAAATGGGGAAATAGAAAAGAGGATATGTGTTTTTTTTCTCTAATCTTCTAGTATCTAAGTTGTTTCTTGTGAAAATCCCACGAAATTCTTAAAATTTTCAGATGGGGCAAGTCAATTTTTTCCATTTTTCGCTACCAAACATGCCAATGTACTTGCGACGTTAGCATATGCAATACTTCTCCGCTTCGAAAATGCGAATTTTCTTTTTTGCTTTTTGTAGAAGAGCCCTCATATATGTGCATTTTAAAAATTCGATATGCATAAACAGCAGGATAAAAACGAAGTGGGTTCTGAAGGGGATAGACGAGGTGCGACGTGGGTTCCTGTGGCAGGGAGCGGCGGAGGCAAAAGGGGGTCACTGCCGCCTAGCCTGGACGAAGGTTTGCACTCCAAAACAACTTGGGGGCCTCGGCATCCTCAACCTTGACCTCTTAGGGGTTGTGCTCCGTACAAGATGGCTTTGGTCGCTTCGCACAGCACCAGACAAGCCTTGGCAAGGCTTGCCGATGCCAGTTTCACGGCGAGAGAAGGATTTTCTTATGGCCTCAACGCGATGGCAGCTTGGTGATGGCAAGGCTGTTCTATTTTGGGACGATCCATGGTTAGAGGGTGCGAGTACAAAAAATAACAGAGTGCCTTCTCTATATGGTTTGGTACCCAAGAGGGTGCGGATTGACTATATTTTAAGGACGCGACTACAGAGAGCGCATGCACTCGTTAGTGCTAACCAACGACTATCCTTTTTACCAAAAACAATATAGTGTGTATCAACTCGTTACCCTTCTTAGGGCATGAGCAATGTATATGGCATAAGTAGGCCTTATGGTGGGCCCTAGGTGGGTCCCACAAAAATATATTTCATCTCCACAATGTATATGGGAGGAAGAAGGCATTATGGTGGACCCCACATTTTAATAAAATACCTACCATCCCAACCAACCCCTTCCTCCGGCCACTTTCCCCACACCTTCCCCCAACCCATCGATGAAAGACATGGCGATGGCATTTATGGCAGCGGCAGACGAGGACGGCAACAGCTCGCGAGAGCGGATCCACGACGGCGGCGCTCGTTGGCGGTGGACCACAGATGTGACATCCCAGCCCATGGCTTAATAGGATTAATAGAATACTCATATCAACAAGTTGCAACTTCTTTTCCGGAAGCCGATTTCCAAAGAACTCCAGGGTTAAGCGTGCTACTGATCGGGAAATTCTTCCCGGGTGCGCACGAGTGAGGACAAAGTGTGCAGAAAAGACTTGTGTTGATCTGTGAGGGCAGTCTATGACCTATAAAAAACTATCAGATGTATCCGACGGCACCGTTACAACGGATCCGACGGCCGCGGGTGGTGCTCGTAAAAGGAGGCGGCGATGGCGCTCGCGGTCGACAACGGCAACAGCTTGCACACGCGAGCGGTTCCGCGGCGGCCCGTTGATCCCCGGTGTGTTCGCGGATGGCGGAGCTCGCGTGAGCAGATCCACGTCGACGCTCACGGATGGCTTCAATGGCAGCGGCTGCAAGGTGCTCCTCCCGCCTTCCTCTTTCTTCTCATAGCGGCAAGTACCAGAATTGGAGAGGATGTACCAATTTTTTAATCCTTGTGGCCGGTCTTTATAGCTAAGGATAGCTCATCCAAATGTCTTCTATATAGACCACTTCCACAATGTATATAGACTTCTTTGGAGGCTTAAAGACCCCTCTTATTTCTACATTGTGGATGCCCTTACTAAAAGTAGTAGCACCTAAAAGTAGTAGTACCTGCCATTTGCATCCTCATTACCCATCTAAATTTCAAATAAAAATTTCTCTTAAATTACTTATTTGATATACGATCCGATTACATCGTTGTGTTTGTTGCAATTAAATCTGTACAACATGATCTTACATGATTATATTATGATGAAAAAAATGTTTGAAAATTACTTTTATTATATACTAAGTTACTTTTATCATATATATAAATTACTTTTAGATTTGATTAAATTACTTCCTATACATTCATAATGCTATGAAGTGATTACTTTTATTATTGTTTTTAGTCAATTCGTTAATTTGTGCTGATTAATTTAGTTTCTAGATAGAATTATGTTTTTATCCCTACAACGGATTAATTTCTAATGTGACGACAAAGTTACTTCCTTTTTGTCTCAAGTTACTTCATTACTTTTAGAATTTATTAAATTTACTTTTATATGTCTAAAAAGTAATTTAGATATATTATAAAAGTAATTTGTAATTTTTCATCATAATATAATCATGCGAGATCTTGTTGTAAAGATTTAATTGCAACGGACATAATGGTGTACTCAGATTGTAGATTAGACAAGTAATTTGAGAGAAAATTTTATAAGAAGGGAAAAAAGACATGGATGCCTAACACTCTTATGTTTCTCTCAAATTCTAAACTCTGATGCTTCTCGACTAAATTGGATGACCGCGCCAGACGTCGCTGCTTAAGAGCAGATCGAGAGGCCTCTCGTTATAGATTTTACGATATTTTAAACTTGCTCGTAGGGGATCAGACCCCGTGTTCTTTCATCCGGCGCCTCCGTGCGACGGATGGGCTTCCCCCATCCGACGGTACAAAGATGACCTCTTGTCTGATCCAACGGCTCGCGGTCACTCCGTGCACAGGGCCCAAGGCTTCGAAGCTCGTCTACCACCTCTGCGCAGCGCACGCCTCCCCAGCCCAGAAGCTGAACCATCGCGTCGTTCATCAGCAGCGGAGAAGCCATCCCGCTTCCCGCATCATCTCTCCCACCACAACCAAACCCTAACCCCACCCACCCCAACCATGGAGTTCGCTCGCCGAGCCACCGCCCCGGTCGACGCCGACGACGGCTGCGGCGTTCCCCACCCGTCCCCGCGCGGTAATACGGCCCTACTTTCCCCTGCTGTTCTCATTCAGTCATTCTGTGGAAGGAACAATGTGGGTTCGTATCCTCTGAAATAAGGGGGGAATTTGGTGTTTTCGCTAATCTAGAGCTTCACCCCCGTTACAATTCTTCTATGCTGCCTCCAGTAGTAATTTTTTTTCAATTTCCTGAGGAATTTGTTTATGGCAAGATCAAAATTATTTCCTGCGAAATATTATAAGAACACGACGATAATAATAAAAGAAGGTGAGTAAATGATGTGCTATTGACTGAGAGATAGATTGATCATGCGAAATTATGAGTAAATTACTCATGCGCAGAAACTAAACAGCGGTGGGGTTGGGGAGTTTCAGTGCAGGTGACGATGGACGCGCTCCGCCGGGAGCTCTGGGAGGAGGGCATTCGTCAGGAGGTCATTGCTGCTGAAATTGCTGAGCAGAGAGAACTGGAGGCCAAGGTCCAGCGCGATACTGGATTGCTCTGTGATGTGCCCTCGCGATTGTCCGTCAGCTTCCAGCCGGTCCGCGGTGACACATTCCCTTCGCCTCATGGTGAGCTTTGGTTAGGAGGACCGATGGCAATGCCTGCAGGAGCATCCATGTTTAGAGTGCCTGTGAAAGATCGGATCGAGGAATGGTATCGACCTCCATGGGATAGGACAGCAGATGAAGAGAATGCATCTTTTAATGCGGTGAGCCATGTGTCTGTGATTATCTTGTTTTTTTTTTTGCTTTTTGTCCCCTTTCCAAAACTTTTAATCGATTATCCATATGTTACGAATAGATAATGTTCCATGTTCAAGATTGTTCCCCCATCCACTTTATAAACTGTAGTGTTCTAGTTATAATAGTCTATGTTGTTCCTCAGTGATCACTGAATCACATAAACTGAAAACTTGGTTTGTGTCCTCCCAAATATTAGTTGTATTCTCGGAGCCACCCACTTGTCTTAGCGTTGAGTTGTTTCTTACTCAATTTCTTTTGTTTTCTAATCCAGTTGACCATGCATGCTTAACTATGTTTGATTTAGCTTGTAGTGCAAAAATATGACTAGCCACTAAGCAGGCCATTTGATATGTTTTGTGCATCTTTCACTAAAAAAGTGTCTCATGTGAATCATCTGTACTGGGAAGCAATTTGCCTTCTGGTCTCTATTACTAGTGGTAGTCCTTGTTATTCCTAATTTCAATGGACCATTGATTTTGTACTTCTTATAATTGACATTTGATAGTTAATACCACCCTAGTTTTGAAGTTCTCATAAAATTGAGGCCATAATCTCAATAATATTAATATTTTTGTATGCATTCTTGACAATTCCTTCGCTAGAGGCAAGCAATGCAGTTTACAAATGTTGTTAGTTTAACTATAATATGGTAAAGTGAATCGATGCTTCTTGGAGATGGGACGTTTCTAATATGTAGACTATGGATACAATATGCAAAAGGGCAGGTGAGTTCAAACTTTCAAAGAATTTGACTTCATGTATGGGATGAAGTGTGACCTATTTTTTTGTTTGCATGTTGTTCAGCTCTACAAGGAAGCTACACGTATCAGTCTCAACGATCACATATGTTGCCTGGTTTGTTGGCAGTTGAAATTGAATGGAAAACAATATAACTAGATAAGGGAAATTTATCTCCAAGGGAAATGTAACCTGAAGCTATGCAGATCATATTACTGAATTCGGTAGCTTTACCGGTGCCCAATAATATGTTCATAGATATGATTTTTATGTCAAGGATAGAAACAATATTATTCTTGCCTTTTCTCAAAAAAGATTGACCATGTAATTTCTATTTTCTAATAATTTTTCATCATAACACAGGCCAAGATGCGTAGAAAGGTGTCATCTGGAGTGAAGAGGAAAAGGGGTGCAGATACTTTCCAGATGAACAACAAAAAAATATGTGTGCCAAGGAGCTGTGATGGAATCCAAGTGAATACACAATGAATTTTATTTCGAGGAGCACTCTGCTGGCCATAGGAACGAGGAAAACAATGCTTTGGAATCAAGAAAGGAAGCTATTGGGACGAAGAAGAAAGTAGAAACAGAGTCCTTATCTGTCACACGGCATTATCCACCAACATGGAATTATGGTATTTGCAAAGCCAATTGTTCAAGTGAACTGGACTTAAAAAATCACCTAAGAGGTAGGAGGCACCAAGAAAACTTAGAAGCCCTGAAGAGAGAAGACAAGGAAATGGAAGCAAAGGTGTATGCAAAGGAAGTGGCGCAGTTTGTTGAAAAGAACCAAAAGTTTGTGCCAAGATGGAGTTGCAGCACTTGCAAGGCTAATTGCACATCTGCATCTGACTTGGAGAATCACTTCCGGGGTAGAAGGCACCAACAGAACGTAGGAAGGAGTTCAAACGTGGTAATGCTCCGTGCATAAGCATTACTGCATACAACTGAGATGCGGTTGCAGACCTGAAGATATAGTTGGCAGAGGGGATATTGTCTAATTTTGGGGGGTTTTTCAGGGTTACTCCCCTGTTCCCACGTCTCCTCCTTTATATTCTCTTAACATTTACAAATGGGTCCTAGGAACATCACTTATTTACACCAACACTCCCCCTCAAGATGGGTAAAAGATATCAATCATACCCATCTTGTTACATATTGATTGAATTTCACTAGGACCTAACCCCTTAGTTAGACAATCAGCTAGTTGTTCACATGACTTGATATACTCTAGCATAAGTACCCCACTATCAATCTTCTCCTTAATAAAGAACCTATCAATCTCCACATGCTTAGTGCGATCATGTTGAACAAGGTTGTTTCCAATGTTGATGGCTGATTTATTGTCACAATGAAGCATCACAGTATCACTTCTTAACACTCGCAATTCAGTCAACAAGCTCCTCATCCACAGCATCTCACTCAAACTCAAAGCCATAGCTCTATATTCTGCTTCGGCGGTAGACCGAGCCACCATTGCCTGCTTCTTGCTTCGCCAAGAAACAAGATTACCACCAACAAACACACAATAACCTGATGTAGACCTTCTATCATCCATACTACTCGCCCAATCAGCATCACAATATCCTTCTACATTTAGGTGTCCATTCCTTCAGGCACCTGATTTCTTCTACATCATCACCGGTGATCACTATATCATCAACATACACAGCCAAGATGGTGATGTATGTCCCCCTATGTTTGTAGAATACCGTGTGATCTCCATTACACTGAGAATACCCCATATCACACACTGCGCACCTGAATCTTTCAAACCACGCACGTGGAAACTGCTTCAACCCATACAAGGATTTCTTGAGTTTACATATTTTTCCAACTGTCTGGCTATTCCCAAATCCTGGAGGAATCTCCATGTAGACCTCCTCATATAAATCACCATGAAGAAATGCATTTTTCACATCAAGCTGATGGAGGGGCCACCCAAAGTTCACTGCACAAGATACTAAAGTTCTCACTGTACCCATTTTTGCCACCGGTGCAAATGTCTCATCATAGTCAATTCCATATGTTTGACTGTAGCCTTTTGCGACTAATCTTGCTTTATACCTATCCACCTTCCCTTCAGGAGTTTGCTTCACTGTAAAAACCCACTTACATCCCACTGCCTTTTTTCCTGGTGGAAGTTTTACAAGCTCCCAAGTCTTATTCTTCATAAGGGCATTCAACTCTTCTCTCATTGCATCTTTCCACCTTGGATCTTGTTTTGCACACTTCCAATCCTTTGGTATGGGCACTGTCTATAATGATGCAATGAATGTTTTGTATGCCAGTGAAACATGAGAATATAAGATATAGTTTGCAATGTCATGCATAGAACTAAGATGCTCAAAACCAAGACGTATAGGAGGTCTACCAGCATTGGATCTAGTCTCTCTACGCTGTGCAAGAGGTAATTCTACTTGTTCAAGAATGGGAGGAGTATTACCAATTATCTCAAGGGGAGCCAATGAGACTGTAGGAGAGAGGTTCTGAGAGGATTCAGGGACTGGGCATTCTGGATGTGATAACTCTTCAACTTAACTTTGCACTAACCCTTTTCTTTTCTCCCCCTGACTATCAAACCGCCTCCTTTGGTAGACTAGCACATCCTTTTGTTTCACCTTTTCGGCTCGCTCCATAGGACATGGAATTGTCCCAACAACCACTTCTTCATCTTCTCCATCTTCTCCATCCTCCTCATGAAGAACCATTTCTCTATCCTTGTCTTGTGTATCTCCAATAACTTCCACTGCTTCTTTACTTGCATTGTCAATAGAGCATGGTATTGATCCAACCACCACTGTCTCCCCATTCTTGTCACTAACATTTTTCCTATGTGTGTCACCTCTCTCTATCTCCCCCTCTCGACTATCAACCTCCATGACAGTCGAGAATTCCTCAAGAAATTGGTCAAGATCTCCTTTACTTTTATAATAGGGCTCAAACTCACGAAATGTCACATCCATACTCACAAACAGTCTTCTCCCAATGGGATCCCAACATTTATACCCCTTCTGACTTGAAGCATAGCCAACAAACACACACTTTACTGCATGAGGATCCAACTTGCCAATAGAAGGTCGATGATCTCGCACAAAGCAAACACAACCAAACACCTTTGGAGGGACCTTGAACTCTCGCTTACCCAATAAAAGTTCAACAGGGGACTTCATACCAAGTATTCTAGAAGGCATGCGATTGATAAGATATGCAGCTGTCATCACAGCCTCACTCCATAGGTACTTTGGCACATTCATCTGGAACATTAAAGATCTTGCCACTTCTAGCAAATGTCGATTCTTTCTCTCAGCTACACCATTTTGAGGAGGGGTACTAGTCTGGTGAATAATCCCCTCATCTGAGATATATGACACAAATTCATTATTGATATATTCTGTTCCATTATCAGTCCGAATAATCTTAACTTTTGCATCAAACTGAGTTGTCACTAATTTATGAAAGTCCTGAAAGCAACGAAGGACCTCACTATTGTGCTTAAGCATATAAATCCAAGTCATACGAGTGTGGCAATCAATAAAGGTGACAAACCACTTAAAACCACTCACAGAAGTAACTGGGCATGGTCCCCAAACATCAGAATGTATTAATATGAAAGGCTCACAGTTACGAAGACCAATCCCAACATATGTAGACCGAGTATGTTTTCCAAGCTCACAAGCATCACACACCAATCTATGCTTATCCACTTTACTAAAGAGATCTAGATACAACTTACTCAAAATCTCAAAAGATGGATGTCCTAACTGACAATGAAGCAAACTGATCTCCTTCTCAACATTTCCAACCACCGCAGCTAGCCCCAGTTCCTCATGATTGATGTACCACAACCCATCACACCTGACTCTAGTCCCAATCCTCCTCCCAGTCCCCTTCTCCTGGAACAGATGAGAGTTCTCATCAAATACAACAATGCACTTGAGTTGGTCAATAGCTGAGCTAACTGAGAGAAGGTTTACTGGAAAGGAAGGAACATGCAAGTCAGAGGATAAGTTTATTGATGATGTGCACTCTACTGACCCTATACCATGAATAGGTTTGGATGTACCATCAGCGATTTGGATAGTTTCAGAGTGGACATAAGGGGTGTATGATGTGAAGGTATTATGCAATCCTGTGAAATGCTTTGATGCTCCTGAGTCTATGATCCAATCTATAGGATGTCTGTATGTAGATGCAAGTGCCTGTGCCTGAATACCTTCGCCCACTTGAGCGTAGTTGGCGAAGTTACCAAAGTGAGTGGTGGTGTTGGAGCTCTCATTGATCTTGTTCTTCTGCCATTCCTCCCACTGTGTCACCTGTTCACCTGTTAAGGTAATAGCTTTACCCTCCTCTATGGCTACATGGCCTGAGGAGCACCTCGCCCCTACCACGACCTCCACCACCACGATCTCCACCACGACCTCCTCTACCACTGTGGTTCCCCCCAAAGTCACCACGGTCTCCTCCAAATCCACCACGGGTTCCACCAAATCCACCATACCCTCCTCGAATCAACCCCCTACCGCCAATGTTCCGAGGAGTGGGACAATTGTAGCTCACATGACCCACTTGTCCACAGTTGTAGCATTCTCTATTATCAGCCACAGTGTATGCTGATCTTGTAGGATTTGTACCTCTCATCAGTTTCAACCTCATCTCCTCCTGCACCATAGCAGAAATAGCCTCTTCCATAGTGGGCAATGTAGCCTGGTAGAACATAGCCGCTCTTCTGTCCTCAAACTCCTTGTTCAGCCCCTTTAAGAAATGAATGACTCTTTGCCTCTGCATCTATTTATTTCCAATCACAATGTCCTCCTCATGCTTCAACTGTAGAGGATCATAGTGATCAAGATCTGCCCATAACTGCTACAACTCACTAGCGTACTCCTGGACTGTTCTCCCTTCTTGCTTCAAATTTTCTACTTTGTTCTGAGCCTCAACCATCATCATTACATTTCCCTCTCCTGAATACATGTTGCTCAATGTCTTCCACACAATTGCTGCATTCTGAATAGTCTCTATCATCCTACTAATAGAAGGAGCCACCGAGGTCATCAACCAAGATACCACGGTGGAATTTGTTGTATTCCACATTCTCCATGCTTGGCTCTCCTTATCAGAAGGCTCTTCACAACTCTCTTGCAAAAAATGATCCACCCCCTTTGCTCTCAACATTAATTGGGCTCTCCTACACCAACTCAAATAATTTTTGCTCCATTCCAACCTCAACTCATTTGGCATCAATTCTAGTTTCAGTTCGAATCCCCCTGCTACACTCTTCGGACCTATCATGCCCATCTTCAACAAATTCTCTAGCAAATCTTTCATATCACCCTTAGTAACCACCGAGGAGGCATCTACAACCTCCTTTCCAACCCCTGAAGACATTTCCCCTCCCCCTTTCTAAGCTTCCTTAGTCCTCACCTGCTACTGCTCTCTGCTCCTGTAATTTTTCAGCACACAAGACACTACCAACAACAAGCAACAGCAACCTTCTCCTCTCTTTTCCCTTCTCTCCACAGCAGCAGTCCACCAAACAAGCAATAGCAGCAGCAAACAGCAGTCCCTTCTCTCCACAGCAGCAGCAAACAGCAAGCAGTAGCAGCCGCAAATAGCAAACAACAAGCAACAGCAGCAGCAAACAGCAGCCGGTGCCCTTCTTGTCGTCCTCCGTGCCGGCGCAGCAACCAGCCGCGGCGGGGTAGCAACAGCAAGCAACAGCGGCCAGCCGGCTCACCTGGTCGCAGCTCCGCCACCACTCCTGCGCCGTCGCCCCCACGCCACGGCCGCGCGACCGGCCGACCACCCCGGCACGCCGCTCAGCCGCTGTCGCCGTAGGTCGCGCCGCCACCTCGCGAGTCCCAGCGGTCGCCTCCACACCGTCTTCCACTTCGTCCTGCTCCGGCACGAGCGCCGCCGCCGGCTAGGGTTTTGCCGCCGCTGGTCGCCAGGAGCTCGGCTCTGATACCATATTGTCTAATTTTGGGGGTTTTTTCAGGGTTACTCCCCTGTTCCCACATCTCCTCCTTTCTATTCTCTTAACATTTACAAATGGGTCCTAGGAACATCACTTATTTACACCAACAGGGGATGTTGCAGTTAGTTTCTGCAAGTGTTTACTGGGTAATGGATGAAATAATTCGTCTCTTGCCCATCTAACCAGAGTTTTCGAAGCTACAAGAGTGTTAACATCTGTTCTGGAGGGATTTTAGGACTCCGATTATTTTGTCACTAACTGATGTTGTATCTTTTGTTGGATATGATGCTATGAATTGGCAACTGTTAGTAGCCATGAGAAAGATCTTATGCTGCTTTAATACCTTTTTGCTCATTTTGTACTGCTCACATGGGAACTACAAAGCATGAATTGGCTTTCACTCAGTTGGCTTGTTGAAAGCATGATGATGTGGTCTTTCTTGATTTCTTTTCATCTGTTTAGCATACTATTTTTAATATATTTTGGCAATGCTTTATTGAGCCAATCTAGTCAATCTGAAAAAATGATGAACTGAACAATCTGCAGACCTTGCTGCATGTTATTATTGGTGTATCATTTCAATCTTTCATGTGACAACTTAGTTACACTTTGAACAAATAGGTTAGCTAGATAAATGCTTGATTCAATCAAGACGATGGAGCAGGTACTCGACCTCCACTTGTTTAGTCAATGGAATCACCCATTTGTCATACAGTTTATACACTAATGAAGGATCAACTTTGAAACTTGTTTGGCTACTGTTGCTGTTGCCAGTTTCAACTGGTCCATCCAATGTCACATTTTGACCGAACACCATGGCCTTCTTCTGAACCCTTCTCTTCACCACATCTTCCTGGGCTTCAGATGTCAACAATTTCATCAGGGCATCCGTGTCCTGTGAAGGACAAATTTCACTTGGATGATTCATCTCCAAAAAATAATTGTACTGTTGTACATGATCACTCCAACACTGATCAGCTTGTTACTTATTATGTAGGAGTAGGTGAAATGATAAAATTACCTTGTTACGAATTAAAGTTGTGTAGTTCTGCTGGTCGCCTATGAACTTCACTTCTGCCACATACCTCCCATAGTTGATCCTTCTTGAGAGTGCCTACAATAAGAATGAACCTTTCCATGTAAATTTAGGATGAAATGTGAATATATGAATTCAAGATCTGCAGTGTAGCATGTATTGTTACCTGCAGACATACAAGATCTGATGAAACAGTTGCAGCATAGTTGCCATCATCGCCATTCTTGGCCAGGAGAGGGAGCAACTCATTGAAATACATGCTCCATATGGCATCATTCACATTAACTAATGCGGCTGCAGAATACAGCTCCTACGATTTATATGAACCATGGTTTCAGTAAGATCATTTTGAGATTTTTTTCAGCATTGTTCTAGATGATTTTTTTTAAAAGATATGGAAGCTGAACGCTTACGGTTGTGAAGTTATATGGAGGTGCCAATGTGAAAGGCACTCTGAAAGGGAAGAAAGGAATCTCCTGCAGGCTTTGGTACCTTCCTGCCTGTAGACAAGTCCAACAGAAAATGTGGATTAGTGATGCTGAAATAACGTTTAGTTGATGTCTTTTGTCACAATTCACGCATCATATTGGTAACGTGCCGTTTAATGTTGACGTGTGCTTTTTGAATCCACTGCAAGATGCTTATTCTTTATCTTTGCTTAAAGTAAACATATCACATTTATGGCATGGCTACTCTAGTTCTTCACTCCTTCAGATCAGACATGCATGCATGATTTGATTAATAAAGCGTGTATATTTATTAGAAAATCAACATTTGTAACTTTTTTCATTAATAATGAAACTAACAATACAAATATTTTAGTGCTAATATAAGTGGTACTACTGTATTCATATTTGAAAATATTTTTGTATGATGTTAATTTCAGTAGTTGTTAATGATGTATAATTATATTATAAAATAAAATAATAATCAAAGCAAAATGTTGGAGAACAAGCCAAAAACTAATAAGCCTTACTACTATATTTTAGAATGGAGAGAGTAAAATGAAAGAGATTATTAGTTTTATTCAAACAATTTTGATGAGAGCATGAAACATTTGACTAGGATTTTCATATGCTCAACTAGTCAAAACACTTAGACAGCAACAACTTCAGGCCATCACCTAGATAATTAATTAAATTGTCCAACTCCGATTTTCATACGCTCAAGTCAAAACATTTAGACAACAACTTCTGGTCATCAACATCTCGACAATTAATCTCCCAACCGCCAGATGACATAGCAGACCGTTGACATTTGACAATGCAAGCAAAACAAAGAGCATAAAAAAAGATACAAAAACGAGATGAACTCAAATACTGCTTCAGAGTTCAGGCATTGCAAGTTCGAATCCTAACAAGAACACACAGGAGCAAGAAAGAAGAGGAGCAAGCTAGAGTCCAGAGTTGAGATATCAAAAACGGCCGCACCTTGGCCTGAACCGCCTCGGACTCGCGCACGAACATCTCGGCGAAAGAGGCGTCGTGGCCATGGCCGCCGCCGGCGAGGTAGCCGGGGTCGTAGGCCGGCGTGTTGCGCGGGTGCTTGGCCCGCTCGATGAGGCCGAACACGACGGTGTCCTCCTCCCTCGTGAGGAACTCCCTCACCGTGTCCAGGCTCAGCCCGCTGCACAGTCGCAGCAGCAGCAGCGCAAGCGTCGCGCTGCAGATGAGCAGATACCTGCAGGAGAGAATCATCGCCGCCGCCATTGCTGCTTGCTGCTCGGAAAGACAGCGAGAGAGAGAGAGAGAGAGACGGAGAAAGAAGAAGAACAATGAGATGATTCAGATGTGTGTGCGATATGTGTATATATATGTCTCGTCACCGGAAAGAACGCCGGGAGATGGTCAAAAGGAAGAGATGATTAGATTAGACAGTGTGTGTGTGTGTGTGTGCACAGCGGCTAACTCTGGCTGGATCAGTCACCATCCAATTAACTCCGGTTAATTAGCGTTGAATAAACAGGTAGCGTGAGCAGCTTACGTTGAAGCTTCAGAAACGGATGATAAGTCAGAATATGATTGGCTCAGAGGTCAAATACTCAAATGGATGTGAACAAATGTGGAGTCTCAGTATGCGAGCAGAGATGATCATATTACGATTTACGTGCGGCTGCGTACATATCTTATCATCCCCTGATGATGACCTCTGATACAGTTAATGATATCTGACGATTCAGTTTAGGAATTAGGATCCTCATCAGCAGGAAAGGAAATGTTAAACAATGCAATAGCATTGTGGATAACATGCCAAAAAAATTGATATGGGGTGACATTCCCCGTCACCCTCAACCTGAAAACTAGAGTAATTAATTAGATAAAAAAAAGTATACCTAATACTACTAGGATATAATCTATTCCAATCAAAGAAGGAATTAATGTCAGGTTCCAAACTTCCAGTGCAAAAACGCACTGTGCTCCATGATTTCTTTAAAAATTAAGTCATGTTCCTTTATATTGACTTCATCTACCAAGAATCTGAATGTCCCCCATTGTCTTTGGGATTAGGGCCTTAGTTTTCCCCATCAGCGGAATTGAGAGTTTGAGGCCCATCTAGGCGAGGTGTTATTGGGCCATGCCGCCTCTTTCTCCGCCATCCAGCCCAGAGCCCAAATATTGATCGTTGCCAGTGCCTGGGCCGCCTATCGGCAATTGGCCCATCAGAAGCCTGCGGCCCGGAGCCCGCACGAGCACACGCAGCCGCATCCGGCCCAGCAAAAACACTACTCTCGTAATATTGTGGGCCGTGGCTCCCAGGTCGGGAGGTGAGTGGGCCGTCGCGCGTGATTCTCCGTCACGGCCCAATACTGGGCCGAATTCACACCATTGTTCGGCCCGGCCTGCTCGTATGGAGAGTTTTTTTTTATAGGTGAAGTATTTGAGATTGTGATTAGACTCTCTCCGTCCTTAAAAAAAATTACCTAAAAGGAAATATGATCCATTCGAGTGTAACAAATCTGAATAGCAAATTATCTAGATTCATTATATTAGAATGTATTATATTCTTATTTAGAAATATGATCCATTCGAGTGTAACAAATCTGAATAGCAAATTATCTTGATTCGTTCTATTAGAATGTATTATATTCTTATTTAGGTTGAGTTTTTTTTAACAGATGGATACCCTTCTGGACCCAGACTCAGGCTATGGATCTCTAAGGATGGTGGTGGTTGCACCTCGCCATCAAGCTTTTTGAGTATAGGAGACAGGAAGCAGAGCACTAGGGGCATGCTTGCCACTCAGAGAGTTGCCGTATCAATCAGATCCATATCGCCATTTTCTTTTCCGTTTTTCTCTTAAAGAATACATATCCTCGGTGATCTGTGGCACTGTAACAATATTATAAGTGTTAGGATATGTTTTACTACTAGCAAATAAATGGATGGGTACACATGGGCCATGCATGGTGATACCACGACGATACAGTATGTCACAGTATGTTGGTAGGTGCAAACTGTTCAGTAGAGCGGCTAATGAAGCTCCTGTCCTAAATTGGTCTTTGCTGAATGTTGATCTTCTTTTACGTCGATGCTGCTTAATTTCCGGAGAAATCAATTAATTTGCCTGGAATGCTCGTAGGTAATGGCTTTGGAAAGGCCTAGAATGTTCTACCCTACCACCAAACCATCTTTTCAAGAACGTGCAAGGTCGGTGCGAGACAGGCACCAAAAAGTTAAAAAGTACTCCTAATGCCCAAATTAATCCCCACTCATCGACATTTTCCCACATACATTGGCGGTCCATATCGAATCAAGATTCAGTCACTATGCCAGTATGCCACTATGGTCCTAGCTAGGTCCTCGGTTCGGTTAAAGGTTCCCTCCACGCCGTTGAAAAATAATATTAGCACTCAGCCCTACATACTCCGCCAGTAAGCTCATTACACACAGCAAAAGGAACTTGAAAAAAAAGTGATGAACAAAAAGAAAGAAAGATAGCAACGATAAGAGTATACCACTTTCGAATTAGTCGTCACAGCAATCGTTGAATAACAAATAGTACTCTTTCCGTCCTTAAATATTTGATGCCGTTGACTTTTCTAAATATATTTGACCGTTCGTCTTATTAAAAAAAAAAGTAATAATTAATTATTTTCCTATCATTTGATTTATTATTAAATATACTTTTATGTATATATATAGTTTTATATATTTCACAAAAGTTTTTGAATAAGACGAATAGTCAAACATGTTTAAAAAAATCAACGATGTCAAATATTTAAAGACGGAGGAAGTATTAGCACTCAGCCCTACATACTCCGCCAGTAAGCTCATTACACACAGCAAAAGAAACTTGAAAAAAAGTGATGAACAAAAGGAAAGAAATTAAGAAAGAAAGAAAGCAAAGCAAAGATAAGAGTATGCCACTTTCGAATTAGTCGTCGCGGCGTTCGTGGAATAGCAAATAGTAAAAGGCTGGTGGGATGCACATAGATGGGTATTGGGCAGTGCAGGATCGGAGTAGCACTTTGGCAACCATCTTTTGTGGGCTGCATCCGGCGCCGGTCATGGCCGGTCGCCTTACCGACAACGAGTAGTCTCCGGTGTCCAAGTGCCAAAAGTGCCAAAAGTGCCAATTATGCTGCATATGCTCCCGTTGTCCTGTTTGCCCTGTCGGAAAGCAATGGCACCAACAGATAGTACTACTAGTAGTGCAGAACATGATCCGGCAGTGAAGTGGACACCTAACATCTCCAGTTTACTGGAAGCACTCCTAGCACCACCCAGTATGCTTCCTCCAGCCCTAAAAGAATTCGTCCAAATTCGTTATTTTAGAATAGGGTTATATCATATTTTAGATTGATTTATTTTTGGACGTAGAGAGTACGTAGGTAGCAAGGCTGATTTATCATCAATTATCAGGTGGGAATTGAATCTTACAAGTAATGATAAGGAAATTAATTAACTTGGCTGCAAGGGAGAGAATTACTTTTTTAAATATTGATCAGAGTGCCCAAACCACGTTAATCCCCTGTACGTGTAAGCGTGTGCTAGCAACGGAACACGTGTTTAATATCCCGTTTAATTTCCTTGACACGTCGGCATCACACACCGGAGGATTTAGCAGCCATTGGCGATGGGTCCAGCTGGTGTACGATTTATTCTCCTGCATCGTGCGAGAATTTTGTCTGAATTTTCGACGTGTGGAGTTGTTTCAGCATATCATAACTCATGCAGGAGTCACTGTCGGCTCTCGGGATTGATTAATTTAGGGGAAAAGATGCATGCCGAAAACTTTAGTAAGGAGTATTTCACTACCTGTCCCTCTTCTCCAATCGGATGAGCTGGAGTAACAAGCGACGCATATTGCAGACCGGTGTACACAGTAAATCTCACGTAATATTCCTTAATAATAATTTAGTGCACATCTCCTTTCGTTGTTGCCGTTGTTGATGGGAGAAAAAGGAGGGAAAACGGAAGCAGAAATCCTGATGAGAATTGACATACACGAGTCCCGTTTTTACAGGCAAGCAATGAACTTAATTTGCGTTCTAATTCGTCCTTGTGCTCTTCTAGAAAACCCCATTTGCGAGTTAACCGCATGCAGCTAACAGGTCTTTTACTCAAGTGCTTTATCACGTTCGAGCTGTACGCCAGTTTTAGGAAGTTAATTAACCGGCTAAATTCACCGAAGCGACTGGAGGTCTGAAAACTGAAACTGCCAAAACTTGACAATCTGAGCTCTGAACCCTGCTAGAATCCACCACCAAACCTGAAGAATAGTCGCCAAGCTAGGCAAATTAAAAGTAGATACTAGCACGTTTTTTCCACCCTCGCATGCAGGAAAATTCGCCGGTGAAGGAACTGCACAGGAATGAACAGTGGCTTGATCACGCCCATGCAGCCGTAGTACTGTTTCTGTCCCAGTACAGTAGGTCAGTAGCTTACTGATGATTAAACTTATGATTCTTATGATTATTTGTCTTAACAAGTACTACTATAGTATATACTGTATTGTGCACGCGTTTGACGTTTTTGTACCGTGTTGACAGATTCCGATCGAGAGAGAAAGTACTGTACTGATGAGATCATCATGAACATAACATAAAACATGAGTGTCTCGCTTTTCCCCTATGGTGCCCCTCTAGCTGTACCAGACAACTAGCTGAAAGGATGAGGTAAAAAGTAAATTAACCGAGTCGTGTCGTATACTGGACCGAGAGTCCGAGACCGCCGTGCAAATTGACGCTAATCTCGCCGGTCGGTCAGTCGTCGCTCGTGCAGCCCGCCGCGCTCTCTGTGGTAGTAGTACTCCGTAGAGTAGTAAACCGGCGCAACTAGACGGAGTCACGGCCACGACCGTCAAAACCGGCAACTTCTTGGAGAAATCGAGCCTCCCAACTACCACACCACACCACACCAGGAGTCCGCGGCTGCGGCCATGCCCCTCGCGTGAGTGGGACTGTGGGAGTGGACGTCAGCTACAGGAGCTCCGGAAAAAAAAATCGATTCTGCAGTACTTCCACCCTCCCTAAAAAAGACCATAGTTTTACATTGTTTAGGGACTGTCTAGATTATATTTAAAATAATCTTACCAAATTTTAGCATGATTTTTTTATGTATTTAGCAAATTTAGCAACAAATTAAATGTAGATATTTTTTTGGCAACTTTACCTTAAAAAATGGTATTATATTCAATGTTTGACTGTTCCATTTTATTTGAAAAAATTGTATGCTTAGTATTTTTATTGTTATCAGATGATAAAACATGAATAGTAATTTACGTGTGACTTTTGTTCTTAAATATATTTTTATAAATTCATCAAATAAGAGAGA